AAAAAAAAAAAAAAAAAAAAAAAAAAAAAAAAAGATTTGTGCTAGTAATTGACTAGCCTGGACTAAATGACCTAGCTTGGATGGTCCCTTTAATTTATATTTTTAAATTTGATAAATTTCAGTAACATCAAATGGCTAGTGACTAAAGATGAAATCTGTCTGAGCCTTAAATCTAATTATTAATCAAGACAGTGTAAGGTTCTACTCAACATTTTATGCCAGATGACCAATTCTATGTTGCAGCACTTCACTGATTCTGCATTTGGACAGTATACAAGCTAGTACTCCAGGTGACTTGGCTACGTTCAGAATAACGTTACCGCACTAGCAACATTGATCTATCTGAGCTGGAATTGTCTTTAGGACACAGTCAATACAATCAGCTTAACTGTCTGGCACACCCCCTCCCACAGCAACATGAGTGCCATCATGGACTTCAAAATTTTCCAGACCCAAGTACTAAAAGTTACGAGGGGGGACGTACCAGGCAATTAAGCGGACTACATTGGCTGCTCTTTAGCAAGAATCTCTACTGATTAAGATAGAATGATTCTGCTAGTGTGAGAACTTCTACTCTGACCAAGCCTAAGACCCCACTCCCACACCTAGGGCACATTCCCATAGATTTTAGATCGATCTATCCCCGTGGGGAGTCTCACTAGATTACTGTCAGATAATGCAGCTTAAATGTCCGTCCCGCCTACTACAAGCTGTAAGGGGGTAATTAACTTTCGTGGAGTCTTAGATCGATCTAGCAGGACACGCCCATTTCAGAGGGCATTCTCGCTAAACTGCACTCACATTAAGCAGCTTGATGTCGAAGCTGCTAAACATGAGTCAATTAGCCCCTAACAGCTTCAGTAGGCGTGTCAGACATCAGAGCCACTTACTAGTCAGCTGAATGTAATTTAGGGAGAAACTCCTCTGAGAAGGGTCAATCCTGCTAGATCGAACAAGAAATGGGAACGAGGTCTTACTCTCCCAAATTAACCCCAAAGTAAACAGTCTGATAACCCAAGGCAGAGAAAGTTTGGACAGGCGGTGGAAACGCGCTACTTATATGATTAAGACGAGCCTGGCCGTCAGTACCGGATATTGTTTTGTGACCTTGAGGAGCAATTAGGTTTGGTCTTTGCGGCACGCATGAACAGTAGTCGAACTACCACACCTGGGTCTTTTGTTTTTGACAACTGTTCACTCGTCATCGAGGAGCTTGTTCAAGACTACAGGCTGATATCTACTAGTACTACCAGTACGTGGCTTCATTAGTAACGTTCCCACAATACTTAGTTTTCTGTCTGTGCGTACATACCCTGAAAAAAGCCAGCCTCGCTGACGAGAACAATGGACGTTTCTCACCCCTCTCTAGGATTACCCCTGGTTTGGATATGATGCCCACGCTTATATTGATATATGTATATTTTTTAAAGTACATCACTTCTCCCCTTTAACTTTGTGTACAGATTCAACCCATGCCCTGCTCTGGTATAACTATTTGGCAAAATCTACATGTTAATATCAACCAGTAAGTCACATTTTCCACATTTCAAGGTGAACTACGACTGACCGAAGGTGAAGGTCAATTAAGGACACACTTCGATTTAGTACTGACAGCATGGGCNCCCCCCCCCTTTGTGCCTCGCTTCGCAAGCTTCGGTACTCTCGCGTAAAAAAAAATAAGGGCTATTTTCAAATCCTGGGGAGAACCCTGATATATATATATTTTTTAAAGTACATCACTTCTCCCCCTTTAACTTTGTGTACAGATTCAACCCATGCCCTGCTCTGGTATAACTATTTGGCAAAATCTACATGTTAATATCAACCAGTAAGTCACATTTTCCACATTTCAAGGTGAACTACGACTGACCGAAGGTGAAGGTCAATTAAGGACACACTTCGATTTAGTACTGACAGCATGGGCACCACGTGTGCACAGTACCTCCTCTTTCCTCACGTTCTCCCAAATTGTTACTATCACAAGATCTGGTAGCTTCACTAGGTTAAGATTTCAAAACTGATCGGCGGTGGTAGTTTTCAAGGACACCAAGTACATTTTTTACGTTATTTTTTCCGATTGATATTCAAATATGTCCAAAAAAGGGATCGCACTACTTCAGCTGCTGATGGCGCCTGCTGTTGAAAGAACGAGCTTACCAGTTAATGTCTTCGTGTTTGTAACCTTAAGAATTCTTGGAATAGTTCTTATACTATATAGAAAAGACTCTCCTCTTATACAACACGGCGGAGGGTATTATGAAACAGTGCGATCTAGAAACTTCGTGATTCTATTTCATCAGCTGATTGCCCATTTCACCCTACGATTCATAAGCCGATCTGTAAAAGATTGGCCCCAAGCAAAAGTCAATTTCATCACAAATCCAAATGAGAAAATTTTAGAATCTATCATGTAGTTGCTATTGATACTGTGATCAATTTTCAGTTAAAACTTACCGAAGTAGTGTTCTTCTACCAACGTCAAACACGTTCCACCGGTAATGGAGGTCGATCCTAGTATGTGACGTCACAGCGTTAGGTCGAATTTGAATACTAATTTTGAGGGATGAAAGCTTCCTTGCATAACCCCAAAAAGACTATTTTTTATCTTATTTAAATATCTGGAAATAAACAACATATATATTTTCAAGAAAGCATATATATAGTTCCTCTTTTACAAAATAATTTCGTTTTAAGCCAGGAAGCATTCTATCAAGTAGTCCATAAACCCCTTTCAGAACGTTTGTGGATTTTAAACTCGTCCATTTTGTTCTTACGAAATATACTGTATATTTTAAATGGAAGAATACTCTTTTGTGATTTTTATTTATATTTTCGATTCAAACTATAATTAATGTATTATATGTGGTTTATATCCCATTTAATTCAGTTCACACAGTTTATATCATTTATCCCATCATTCCTCAGTGACTAAAAATGTCAAGGTCATTCGGTTCTAGGGCAGACGAAGTCTGTAGTTGAATGTTTCGTAGCGTTTTTCGTACAAGCAAAGCACTGCTACTGCTTGAGAAAAACCAAAATGTTGCGAGTACACGGGAGGGTCAAAGCTGAGGCACTGTGCACTTTCAAAAAGGTTTGTCAACACGATAAATGTGTGGAAGTCCTTTCATATAAGTGTGCCATCTCGTAAAATGCGCAGCTTTCTGACAGTGGTGTGATCTATATTTGACCTTCAGGTAAAATAAGGCAGTAAATGATATAGTTATAGCAACTGAAAACAAACTGTTGAATGCATCCGTTGCTAGCATACTTACATTGTTTTTAAATCATGCCAGATTGTTTGGTTGGATCGTTTTAATGATTTTGATTACATTTATTCTTGTATTGTACTGAATTAATTCTCAGAGTTGTTGAAGAAAATGTTTCAAATTTTTGAATTAGAGGAGCAAGTGAGTTTGTGATCCTAGGCAATGTTTGAGTATAGATAAGTACCACAGGTAAATTCAGTGATCCATTAGGCTTGTTACTTGTGTTTTTTTTTTTTTTTTTTTTTCACTATCAACAACAAGGTAGCAGACTGAAATTTATAGACACCACTTGAAAATAAAAAAAGCACCCAATTAAATTAATTAAACTGCATAGCTTTTATCCCTTGATTGTTAAAGTTAACAATTCAAATAGAAAGGACAAGTTGAAAGTGTTGCCTTTTCAGCCTACTAGAGCCAAGTGCAATACCGCCAAGTTAATTAATAGGTGTCATGGATAAGTACATGTAGGATTATAGCATGCATCAATATTTACTCTCTGTCCCATTTGGAAAAGACAGACTCCACCTCTGAGGAGCATAAGATCAATAATCTGCATACTGGTCAGTATATGGTCCTCTTACTCTACCTATTTTTGCACAACCTTACAGTCTGTTGTCTTCTAAATTAAGGGGGTGAGAGGAAAGATACATTGTACAGGCCCGTAGCCAGCAATTTGAAAGGGGGGGTTCTTTTTCTGAAAAAGTGGACCTTTTTACCATATAATCCCCATGTACCTTGGTCAAATTTTACCCAGAGTGGACCTTTTTCCAGCAAAAAGGGGAGTTCTTTCGAACCCCCCCGAACCCCCCTTGGCTACGGGCCTGTTGTAGCATACATGTAGAGATTGTCTATATATGCACTGATACATTTTTCACTCTAATGTTTGACACGAATTTGCTTATTCGTACACATAGCACTGGCTTGACATCTGTGACAGTGCTGCAATTTGCATTGGCATTGTTATTTGCCCTATGATAATCCTTTCAGACTGCATGCATAAATCAGCAACAAATACGTACATCTGATAAAAATCACATCAACAGGTGAACTTCCACCTATTAAATCTCCAAGTGAATCTTTTTGCAACTATAAAATTCCCATTTTTCAACCATAAAGGCTGAAACATTTTTTACTGCTTTGATATTTAGGTGTGCTTGCCAGCTGCCTCAGTGAGAGGATTCCACCAGGAGCCCTTACATCCAGAATGGAGAGAGTTAGCCAAGAAGCAACTGAAGGGGAAGGACCCACAAGAAACTTTGATATGGCACACTCCAGAGGTAGGGGACTGTGGCTTAGTTGCGTTCAGTATGTTAAGGCAGTTTGAAAGGATTATATATCTTGGATCCTGTGTAATACGTAAATCTCCTTGTATGTCATGTGTTTTCTTTTCAAAATTACGCATTTTGAATTGGCATCCATGGAACTAGTATGAGGATAGTGGGCATATATTGTCATGTTTCCAAACTTTTTTTGGACGAGTGTATATAATCAAACTGTCCAAAATTCTTAATTTAGTTTCAGGGTATTGATAGTAAAACACTTTATCACAACATGATGAAACATTTGTGAAACCTCATAATTAGTTACCCAGATTTTAAACTATATTTTTATACATTTTATTATCTGTATTTCTCGTAAAAGAAAATATAAGTGAATGACTATTGTGTACTTTTTGGATCAGGTCTAACACATGTTATTATCTGTACTGCAGGGTATTGATGTGAAGCCACTGTATACCAAGCAGGACACGGCCAGGATGGTGGATGAGTTGCCTGGGAAGTTCCCCTACACCAGGGGACCCTATCCAACTATGTATGCACAGAGACCCTGGACTATCAGACAGGTAGACAGGGGGATTTTCCATTGACAAAAATCAAGTGGTATCAATTAAATGTTTTGAATAAGCCCCTATTATCTATTATTATTGTTGTTATTAGTATTATTATTTATAAACCTGACAACCCATAAATGCATAGAAATGACACCTTAGTGACATTGATTGATTATTGTATGCAGGGTTTAGCACAGTGGAAGAGAGCTTATATTATAAAATAATACATGTTTTCTTGTTTCAGTATGCAGGGTTTAGCACAGTGGAAGAGAACTTGTATTATAAAATGTTACATGTTTTCTTGTTTCAGCATGTAGAAGAGAACTTGGATTATTAAATAATACATGTTTTCTTGTTTCAGTATGCAGGGTTTAGCACAGTGGAAGAGAGCAACAAGTTCTACAGAGAAAACATTGCAGCAGGACAGCAGGGTCTTAGTGTGGCTTTTGATCTGCCCACACATAGAGGGTGAGTGTGAACATCAAGTATCATACCATGTTCACTTCGTGAAGGATTTTAAAAGAATCTGTATTATTTTGGAATAATTATAAATCTAAAAACTTGCAGATAATTGATTAATAATCAGTCAGTTGATGGTGCAGTCAATCACGCAATGGAAAAATACAATTTAAGATAATAGAAATGGAGAAATTGGTGATACATTTGAATATATAGGAAATTAAATATCATAGCTGCATAGAAATATTATTTTTTTCCTTATATTTCAGCTATGACTCAGACAACCCGCGAGCCTCTGGGGATGTGGGGATGGCTGGAGTGGCCATTGACTCTGTGGAGGATACTAAGGTGATAACAACATGACCATCATGATAATATCAGTGTAGGAACTACACGTGTGCTTTATTTTCATTGTAACTTTGTCTTAGGTAGTACATGATATTTTTATTGTCTATAACTATGTGCTTTATTTTCATCATAACTATGAATTAGATAGTACATGTTTTTATTGTCTGTAACTGTGTGCTTTATTTGCATTATAACTTTGAATTAGATAGTACATGATGTTTTTACGGTCTAAAAGCAGTTAATTTAATCTTCTTCCCTATTGCAAATGAGCATTTTCTGAGGCAGGTTTTATGCTTGTTGGTTTTTAGTTTCGCATAAGATAAATTCAAGTGTAACATTTCACGGCACTTAATTATTATTATTTTTCCCATTCAGTTACTATTTGATGGTATTCCACTGGGGAAGATCTCCACATCTATGACAATGAATGGAGCTGTGCTGCCCATCCTGGCTATGTATGTGGTGTCTGCTGAAGAACAAGTGGGTTGAATTATTTTACTCATTCTTTGGTTGCACAACTGTACAAGGATGGTGTAACACGGGGATTCTTTGATATGAATAAGGGGAAATCAAGATGGCTTAGTCCCTGATATTTATTTATTTATTTATTTATTTATTTATTTATTTATTTATTTGTACCTTATCCTAATAATTCCTATCTTTTAACAACGATTTTGCATTCTATTTTATAAGATGCATTTATTCTGTAAATGATTATTACATAGACTGGAGACTCAAGAACATTTACAAGAACATTCACAAGTTTCCAGTCCCAAATATGGTTGTTGTGACCCATTAGATAAAGATGTTTATTGTTCCGTTGTTTCAATTTTTAGGGTGTGAAGCAAGAACAACTCACTGGTACCATTCAGAATGACATTCTCAAAGAGTTCATGGTCCGGAATACGTACATTTTCCCACCTGAACCATCTATGAAGAGTATTGCTGATATTTTCTCCTATACGGCTCATGTAAGTAATTTTCTGCCATGTGTAAATTAATATGTTCAGTTCCTGATCCTAATGCTTTATGCAGATAGTAAATTACAGTATTTTAAGGCACATTCTGAGTGCATGGATTGCTTGTTGTTGGACTTACCTGAGGACAATGAAAGCTTTTAAAGCATAAAGTGACAGATAAATTGCGTGAATCAATATCACAAAAAATAATCATTTTGACTGTCCCCTGTCTATAACCGCGGTAGTCAGCCATCTTGACACAGTTTGAAAAGAGCGCAGTTTATGGCACGAGAGTTTCATGATAGGAACTTCAAGTTTTGAATTTATTTTCATTTCTCTTTTCTGATTAAAAGGTCCATGGGGTGGGGTGGGGTTTCAAGTTTATGTTCACATTTATTTTCTCTGACCAACTCTGAATAATAGGCTATAATAAGTACATTCAGTGACTGTAATCCAGTCTGTGGTCAGAGAATTATGAGAAAGTTACCAAGCTTTCCATCCGTTCATTTCAGAACATGCCCAAGTTTAACTCCATCTCCATCTCGGGCTACCACATGCAGGAAGCAGGAGCAGATGCTGTATTGGAGATGGCTTTCACCATTGCTGATGGTTTAGAGTACTGCAGGACAGGTAGGTCACAGTAGTAATGGGCCAGTGATTCTATGGGGATGGCTTCACATGGGTGCTTTGTTAGTTATAAAATCAGGCCAGGCTGCTGCCAGGGAGGGTGTTCAGGGGGTTGGAATAGACAGCCCTTTTTGCTGGGAAAAGGCTGCTCTGGATGAAAATTTATCTAGGCCCATGAAGGTTTTATGGTAAAAGGTCTACTTATTCAAAAAAAAGACCCCCTCCCCTTTGGAATAGCTAGTCGCTGACCTGAAAGTGGTCTTAGCAATTAAGAACAGAATTAATTCTAGTTTGCTATGAGTTATCTCTCTGATGATGCAGGGTGTGACACTGAGAAGTGGATGCAGACTTGATGCAGGGTTGTTCTAGGTGGAGTGATATTGTCAGCTGGGTAGTAGTATACTGGGTTGGTTGAGCTGATAATAAACTAACTAAATAAGAACAAAATAGCCTTTTTTTGTTTGTTTCTTTTAACACAATTTACAGGAAGGAATTTTGGACTAGTCAAGGTACTTTGTTTAAGTGGACTACTGTACATTGTGTTATATATTGGTGAAAGACCAAATAGAATAAAATTCTAAGCAGATGAAATATTCAGTTCTAGATAAGATTTGTTTTCTGCTGAACAGGGTTTTTTTTCAGAAGGACATAGCTGGCTAAAGTTACCCATATCAATAAATATATACACACACACACTGTTTTGCCAAGTCAGTGACAATCTGATGGCTTTTTTCCTGACTATATGCAGTATTTTACCAACATTCACTGTGCTGATAAAAGTGTTGGGACTACTTTCCCTTACAGATATTAAAAATGCTGGTATAATTCATTTTGCGTGTCAGTTCTAATGGCTTTTATTCCATCAGAACTAGAGCATATTAGACCCCATTCCCAGAGATTAGATTGATCTAACTAGATCGACCTAACTTCCTGGGGGTTCACGCTAAATAGCTGTCAGCCGAGCGGGCACAAAAGTTAATTACCCCCTTATAGCTTGTAGTAGGCTGGACAGACATTTAAGCCAGATTATCTGACAGTAATCTAGTGAGACTCCCCACGGGGATAGATCGATCTAAAATCTATGGGAATGCACCCTTAGACACAATGTTTGAACTGAATGTATGAACTGATCATTTTCTTTTGTGTGCATATTAAGCTACAAAATACCTTGATGGTAATGTTTTGATGGTCTATATTGTTTTTGATGCATTTGTCCATAAAGCTGTAAAATAGTTTGATGTAAATGTTTTGATATGCTTTTTACTTGATAATACACTCACAAAAGTCTTTTCAGACTTTATAATTAATTTGTATTTGGAATGTTTTTTTGGAACAGCTTTTCTAGGAAGCATTTAACTTTAGATCAAAGAACCATACAAGTGATATTTGTTTGAACAGTTATAAACTCTTATTTTTTTTTAATTTTCATTCACTGGCATTAATATTCAGAAGTTCTGTTCTTCACTTTGTTACATTTCACTGCAGTTGCTTCGTAGTTTTGGCTAACAGTAGGCTTAGGCTTCGTTCACATGCAATGTCTATTTTCTAAATTCTATTTTCTATTTGCGGCATGTCTTATGATCACGGTCTGTGCACTGAATATCCCGCCGCGTAATTACTGGCAGCGCAAGCCAGTTACTGTAAGTTACTATAAGTAACTGGCTCGCGCTGCCAGTAATTACGCGGCGGGATATTCAGTGCACAGACCGTGATCATAAGACATGCCGCAAATAGAAAATAGAATTTAGAAAATAGACATTGCATGTGAACGAAGCCTTAGAGTCTGGGGGGTTTATATCAGGTAACGCATGAACATCAAATGCGCTACTATGCATGCGCTGACTTTTTTCTTCTAACTGGTAATCAGACATGAGCTTTTTCTGTGGAAAAGCAGAATTCCATGTTTTTTAATTCAATTATGATGGTTCCTGAGATTCGTCAAGGTTGGGTGTTGGGTCCCATGATAAATGTTCAGAGTTTTTTTTTTTTAAACCTAGGCTCACATCTGGTAATTAAACTTGTACATTTTAAAGATGATTGATAACAATATGGCATTGTTAATTGAGGACAATGTTCCTGGGGCCAAACTGTCAACACTTAGGTCAGTAAAACAAATTTTTATTGGATCTAAAACAATGATTAGCCTGTCATGGACTGAAAATTAGCAGGAAAACTGAATTGACAGCAAAGTAATGTACACATGCATGGACTGCCATCTGTGATGTATGTAATGGTGTGTTGTAAAAACCTCATTAAACTGGATAGTACATTTTGAAACAAGTTTATTTGAATAATAAATCTAGAGACTGATTGGTCAAAGGTTTTTTACACATTGTCCCTGGTGACATCGCACATTCTAGAAAAACATTTTTCATTAAATTTTTTTATTAGTTAAAAGTTATCATCTATGATAGATCATATATTAGATATACCTGTTGGCTGTTTTCAGGGGTGGATCCAAAGATACTGTCTGACAGTCTTCCAAATTATCTTTGTTAATCCATCCACCGTTTTTGACTGTCTTCTGACAGAAAAAATAGATACCCGTCAATGTAAACTTGAAAATTTGACCGTCTTCCGGAAGACCCAGAAGATGGCCTAAATCCGCCCCTGGTTTTTAACTATTATAAACTGAGATCCAATGTCAATGAAACTATTTTGAATTCACATTAATTTTTTTTTTGCCCAGGTTGTTAGAATAGACATTTTAAGTAACATATGAAATGGAAATGGATTTTCAGTACACATGAACCACTTTCACTAGTTTCTTATACAACTCAAATAAAGTAAACCAAATCAGTCTCTCATAATGAGGGAAAACACTTTTCAACGTGTAAGTGGCGCAGTGGTACAGCCTAGATGCAACACTGTATATATATATATTATATGATACCTACGTGTAGATGTTTTGCTCAGAATAATGAAAATAAGTGTATCAGTAGTCACTGTGACTTGTGAATGACCCTAGAACATGAATTTAAAATAAACTTATTATTTATTTACCAGACCTGTAAATGTATGCACCACACGTGAGAGGGTGAATGTCAAGATAATATGTCAAGAAAGTAAATTAAACAGAACTAAATACAAGAACTAAGACTAAAAAGAAAGAATGTTTGAGTTGAAATAACTTGAACTAAACTAATAAAAAATATACTTATCTTTATTGAAAAATAAAACTAAACTCTTAAATAATATAAATAACAAAAAGCAAATCAATTAAGTCGGTATTTACCTGTAAATAAATTATATAAATAACAAAAAGGAAATCAATTAAGTCGGTATTTACCTGTAAATAAATAATATAAATAACAAAAAGCAAACCAATTAAGTTGGTATTTACCTGTAAATGTATGAGACACGTGAAAGAGCAAATGTGCTGTGAAAATGAGAAAGGGCGTGTGTCATAGATAAACAGATATACACAAACACAAAGTTTTAACAGAAAGAGATGAACACACTACAAGTACACTAACACAATTACAACCTCACACATGCATGTTACATCAACATAAGTACAGATTCCTTGAGTAACATGAAATTGTTAAATGAAAAAATAAATATATAAATACAAAACCTACCTTGATTGTCTTCTGCACATTGCTGTCTGAAGGGTCTCCAAAACTTGCCAGGTCTTGGTAGAACCCAGGTGCCAGTTGCTTGCCGTTCTTCACCATTTTCTCCAATATTTTACAGCCTCCTGTGCTTAACTTCACAGAGTGGGATTAAACACTGGTTCACTGATTCATGTACTACAGTTGGTGTCAGTTAACAAAATAAGTCCCACCCCTTTTGATGACACAGTAGGCAAGGACAGCAGTCTAGCAAGAAAGAATATTAATGTTCATTTAATTTTGCTAGTTTCAACTGAAGAAGTTCTGTTACATTTTGTCAAAAATGAAGAACATAAATTTATTTATTCCTCCATTATGTTGGGTGACTTGAACAGTGTGTATTTGGAATTCAATGTAGAATGTGTATCTGTTTATGCCTTTCCTGACAACAAAGTTGTTGATTGATTTTTCTTGTTTGTCTCATGCTGGCATATGGAACTATCGCAGTTTTATCAGTAATATGCTTAAAATTAGTTATTGTATTTTCAGTTTATATTATATTGCAGAAGTGAAGGAAGTATTTGAATATTGTACATGTATAACTTTACCAATCATCTATAAACTACTTCTTTTTGACTTCAAATTAAAATGTGTTAATTTGCTGTTTTTTTCTAGGTTTAAAAGCAGGCCTGCATATTGATGAATTTGCTCCTCGTCTGTCATTTTTCTGGGGCATTGGGATGAACTTCATGATGGTAAGAGACATTATAGCAATTATTGGATTATTTTGTAAGAGATGCATTTTAATAGTTTGACGCCCCTTTTTGTTAGAGCAATACTAATCTGATGATATTGAATTGTATGACTGTATCCTATATGGCAATTTTAGTTGAGGAAATACAAAGCCCATGAAAGGAGGGCCTTGAATATTTACAAAGTCATGATGATATTGAATTGCCTTGAATACTTCAAACAAATTCTAGACAAGATTCAGATGTGTGTGTGTGTCCTTGTGAGTTTTTATAGGCAGCCATGCTTGTGAAAAAAATCACGGCAGCATCTATTGAAAGAAAACTGATGAATGAATCATCCTGTGTGTGGTTGGGGAGGGGGGGGGGTTGACTTGCAAATTTATCAGTATTTTGACCTTTAATATTTTGTTATTTATTTAGTTCTCCAGGAGATAGCCAAGTTTAGAGCTCTTTGTATGACCTTGTTAATGCAAGAATTTTGACCTAAAGTATGTTTTTTTTTTTTTTTTTTTTTTTTTTTTTTTTTTTTTTTTTTGGTGAGAATAAATTTATTTATTTGTTTATTTATTTATTTCTCCAGGAGATAGCCAAGCTCCGAGCTGCCAGGCGTCTGTGGGCAAATCTGATCAAGGATCATTTTGATGCCAAGAATCAGAAATCATTGCTGCTGAGGTGCCACTGTCAGACTTCAGGCTGGTCACTCACAGAACAGGTATTTATAATACAATTTATTTAGTCGTTGTGTATTTATGTATTATGAAATGCATACAAAAAGGGGAGTTTATTATGATGGCTTTGAGCATTGATGCTGCTATTATAATATCGCCTTATGAAAAAAAAAAAGAAAAAAGAAAATGAAAAAGGAAAAAAAAAAGGAAATTTGATGATTGCCTGCATTGAACTGTGTCCCCATAAAAATGACAAAAATAAAAATGATAAAAATGACTTATCTGTGTAATTTTAATTTTTTTGTTTCTAGGATCCTTACAATAACATCATCAGAACAACAGTGGAGGCCATGGCAGCTGTGTTTGGAGGCACACAATCCCTGCACACAAACAGCTTTGATGAGGCCCTGGGGCTGCCCACAAAATTTAGTGCCAGAATTGCCAGAAATACACAAATTATATTACAAGAGGAATCTGGAATTCCAAAGGTTGCTGTCACTTATAATGCTTTTTTCCCCTCAAAATACAGTGTTAAAGCAAATCTGTTATTCTTTTATTTTAAATTATTTTTTTGATTCATTTTGTACAGAATTGAAAGGTTTTGTTTATTGTAAGTTGTAATAATAGAAAACTATAAGTGCAAAAGTGGTAATAAAAATTACCAAACAGAGTAGTATGCGGAATGCCATTGGTCAATTAAAGTCTGTGAGTGATAAACTGGGTAAATTATTATAGTTTTGCCCCCAGATATGTTGACTTTTAGCAGTAAAATTTAATGAGTTTTTAAACTTATTATATATATGTATATAAATATATGAATAACATTTGTGCCGTTTGTTGTAGATTGTGGATCCCTGGGGTGGATCCTATGTAATGGAGGCTCTCACTGATGAGCTGTACGATAAAGCTTTGTCTGTTATCCAAGAGGTGAGACCTTTGTATTGTTTATTAAGACCTTTTGATTTAATTACCCCTGGGTTGTGTTGTATGCGATACAGGCTCTCAAAGATGAACTTTCTGTAGGCTGAAGTGTGAGCAATTATTGAAGAAGTAAGGTGTTTTTGTAAGCCATCAATTTTTATTTAATTTTATTTATTTATTTATTTATTTATTTATTTATTTATTTATTTATTTATTTATTTATTATTCTATTTTTGTTTGTGAAAGAAGGGGCAGTATGGTCAAGACAGGTTGCCAGGGTGTCTGAACCTAGTATTATATTGTCCAATTTGTTGTCTTGTTGTATCATTAGGTATGGTATGGTAGGGTATAATGTAGTACCAAAGGAATCGGATGTATCAAGAATATTGTTATTGTCTCAGGTAGAAGAGATGGGAGGTATGGCCAAGGCTGTGGCTGCAGGGATGCCTAAACTGAGGATTGAGGAGTGTGCTGCCAGAAGACAGGCCAGGATTGACAGTGGACAGGGTATGAAGGGATGACAAAAATAATAATAATAATTTATAATTGTAAAATTGCACCAAAAGGAGGTATATAGTTTTAAATCATAATACAAAATATATACTTCAATATCAAAATGTGAAATTTAAACTAAGACTTTAGGAAAATTAATAATTTGAAAAATTTTGAAAATGTATACAATCATATGTGCGTAGATCCTGGAACGTGCGCATGTTTTTTTTCCTTGCCCCTTTTTAAGAATATAATTATTTATTCATTTATTTATTTTATTTTATTTTATTTTATTTTATTTTATTTTATTTATTTATGTATTTATTTATTTATTTATTATTATTTTTTTTTTTGGGGGGGGGGGGGTACTTCAGATAATGGAGAGGTCCTCCTTTTCCAGAATCCTCCTTTCTTACCCCATCAACTATCAGGTGGTAACTGGTTGCTGATGCAGTATGCATCTTGTTTTTACAGAGGCTATAGTGGGAGTGAACAAGTACCGCCTGCCCAACCCTGACACTGTGGAGGTGTTGATGATTGACAACAAGGAGGTGCTGGAGAAGCAGTTGGCCAGGCTGAAGATGGTCCGCGAGACCAGGGATAACAACAAGGTACAAAGATCATGATTGACAGGTCGATATTTGTTTATGGATTTTATGAACTTGGATGGTGGTGGATGTGGTGGTGGTGGATGTGGTGGTGGTGGTGGTGGATGTGGTGGTGGTGGTGGTGGTGGTGGGGTGGGGGGGGGAGATGGATGAAGGGCCTGTGGATTCACTGGATCAGGTAACGGTATAAGGCAGAGTGACCAATGATGATTTTAAAGAAATGCTTTTGGTAGAAATTTACAGTGTGTGTGTGTGTGTGTGTGTGTGTGTGTGTGTGTGTGTGTGTGTGTGTGTGTGTGTGTGTGTGTGTGTGTGTGTGTGTGTGTGTGAGTGAGTGCAAAAAAGAGAACAAGAGGTGTGTGTGTGTGTGAGAGAGAGAGAGAGAGAGAGAGAGAGAAAACTTAAAGGAGTGAAGAAATAACAACCCAACATGATAAATTTTTTCTTCTTTAAACAATAAATATGTAACTGACACCTTGTTTTCCACTCAGGTGCAAGAAACCTTACAGGCCATCACAGAATGCTGTAAGAGTGGGGATGGCAACTTGATGGCTCTCAGCATTGATGCCGCCAGAGCCAGGGCCACAGTGGGAGAGATCACCAGCGCCATGGAGGAGGTGTTTGGACGCCATGTGGCCACAGATCGCATGGTCAGCGGTGCTTACAAGACAGAGTATGGGGAGAATGATGAAATTACACATGTTATCAAGAAAGTAGAGGTAAGTCAGGAGATATATGATGGATGGACTTGAGTAAGTTTGCTTCTTCTTGTGGATTTCTCAGTGGTTATTTGCTGGGCTCGTTAAATCGGCAAACACCTGTGAGGGCAGTTCATATTAGGTTTTACTTAAATCTGTAAATGGGAAGCTAAAAGATAATTTTTTTTTACAAAATGGTAGACAGATTGACAGTGATGGTTATCTGGACGGTCAGTGTTTTTCTTTCCGCTATCTTCTTTTTTTTTTCACTCAGATCTGAACAAATGACAGTTTTTCTGCCTTGTTTTCTGTATGGTGTCTGTATATATGTCACCTTTGCTGTCTAGTTCTTTATTTATCCATCAAATTTACTTCAACAGGAATTTGTATCTCAAGAAGGTCGCCGCCCAAGAATACTCATCGCAAAGGTCGGCCAGGATGGACACGACAGAGGGGGCAAGGTCATCGCCACAGGATTCGCTGACATGGGCTTTGATGTGGATATCGGCCCTCTCTTTGCTGTACGTAGCATGGGATTACTATTTAGATTATGAGCAGTGGTGGTGTTGTCATATGGTCAGTCACACTAAAATTACACTGTTTAATGCTATTCTTTGCCCTTTAAAATTGTTTGGTGATTGATTTTTGTGTTGACCCTTTGAAGAAAACTTCACAGGTGAGATAATTGTGTCTGTCGGGGGATTTCAGACTTTTCGAGAGCCACAAATTAAAGGGATAACAACTCTTCGTATGAGATCTATATTTCACAATAAATACATTGTAAACAACTCATAGAAATGTTGTATGTTCTATTTTACCACAAAAACGACAGTTACAACAATACATCTGAAGTATGTGTTTGCCATCTGAACACATGACCTCCGTAGAAAGCTATACTCTAAAAAGCAAACAATTAAAAAAAAAACCTGGAGTAATTTTGAATGTAGAAATGGATTCATTTACCATTGGTAAGTGTGGGAAAATTGCTGTTTACTCCAGGAAAATTCATTTTTTGGCCAAACTGAAGTTGTTATCCCTTTAACATCATTGGCCTAGGCAGCCCCATGGATCCCACACCATATTTTACTACTTTCTTAATAAATGACAGTCTCATCCCTGCAGTTAAGAATTACGTATACAATTTTGAAGTTAAGATTCAATAATAATAATAATAATAATAATAATAATAATAATAATAATATTTCAGACTCCGAAAGAAGCTGCTCAGCAGGCCATTGATGCAGATGTCCATGTGGTGGGTGTGAGCTCTCTAGCGGCTGGCCACAGGACACTGGTGCCTGAACTCATCCAGTGTCTAGCTGACATGGGACGACCGTAAGTACACCAGGGAGGGGTTTGTTTTAAGAAATGGAAATGAATTACAAGGATTAGATGTATTTGATGGGAAATTGTTTATGTGCCTTGTGCAAAGTACATTGAAAGGTTCATGACTGCTGAAGCACTTAGCAGCTCTTCTCTTCAGTTATCAAGGGAACTTTTTTAATATTTGATATTTTCATGTAGTAATCTTCTTTTGATTTGCAGAGTCCTGTAGTCCATAATGTTGACTCCTCAAATATATATATATATATATATAATCTAGATATAAATGATGTTGCACATGCACAAATGGTTTATCAAATGGCTTAAAGCAGTTCCAGTTGTCATATCCAACAGCTAAAAGTATTTAAANAGGCCATTCTGACGGCATGAAGCAAACCCTTTAATATTCAGTGATATATCAGATGTTTGTGTGATGATAATTCATATTTTATGGAATATGTGCAATCTCTCCTTTCAGTGACATAGTGGTTGTGACAGGTGGAGTTATTCCTCCCCAGGATTATGATTTCCTCTTTGAAGTGGGTGTGTCCAGTGTGTTTGGTCCAGGTAAGAATGATCAGATTATGATTTCCTCTTTGAAGTGGGTATGTCCAGTGTGTTTGGTCCAGGTAACAATAAGTTATTGAAATATTTTGCTTCCTCTGTCTTTATTTACTGAAAGGTATAATTATACCAGTTTTATCATAATTTTAATGTTTGTTTTACTAACGTCTTTTACTTACTAAAGTGATTTAATGCTTGACAAATACAGAGATATTTTTCATGTTGAAATGATAAGGAAAGAAATGAATTGCAAACCAGCTAAGTAGCAGTTGTAAAACTTGGTTGAAATCACATATTCTAAACACATTCATAAATTTTCTCCGTTACTTCAGGCACCAGAATCCCAGATGCAGCAATCAAAGTACTGGATGATATCATTTCCAACCAGAACAAGAGACAGCAAGCATCAGGATAGATGCAACTCGGACATAAACTAAAGTGCTGCCATTTCACACAGATATGTCACATACCGTGATAAAAAGACAGACATCTAAAGGCTTCTATACTGCTGCAGCAGTCGTCTATAATTTGTACAAGTCTGTGGATGTATAGGGATTTATTTGTGGCATGAGGTAGATGTTGCATATCGCAATGGTCACATAATGGAAATACAAGAGCAAACATGACAGCATATTTATGCCTCAGCTGGTGTATGTCCCATTGTCAGCACAACTGCCCATCAGCTCTTATATTTTTAATTTTACCATAAAAAAAAAGAATATACAAAAGAGAAAAAAAAGAAATTGATATTTTTTGGTATGATAGACCATATCTTTATCGGTAAGCTTAAGTCATGAAAATCAAAAGTAATAATTACGTCTTAAATTTGTACAGGCTTAATCAAATGCTTGATTTCATGATCATTGAAAGACTAGACAGATGAGACACCAAACCCTCATTAATGCTTACTGCATGCCAAATATGCTGGCATATTCTGACAGCATTCTATTTGACTTAAAAAGGTAAATACGCTGTTTTCTATTATAGTGAAACTGAAGGTCTGTTTTTCATTTAATGTGCTGCGGGACTTGACAATGGTGTGTATTTTTTTATTTAAAGAAAGCTGGTATTTGTCTTTATATGAAGTTCAATCTGTTGGAAAAAATTGACTAAAAAGATGAGCAATTTGAAAGATTGAAAAAACATTTTGTCAGCTTAAGCAATTAGTTGATAGTATGTTTGAAACTTTTTCGCACAAATTGTTTTCTGTAATGATATATGTTATACAGTATAAAAGCTTGCTACATGTAATACTTGGAGTTGGGACGTATAATTTGTTGTACAGCAAGTGTATTACATGATGACTTATTACATGAATTTGCAATATTCCAGTTGATAATCAGAGTGAGATATCTTAGGGTCACGATACAGAATCTCCAGACTCTTCTAGAACAACAACAACAACAACAACAACAAAAAAAAAAAGATGCTCTAGTCCATGTATACAGTAGTCTGGGATCTGTGGCTGTGAAGGTACACAGTAGTACCTGAAATTCATAAAAAATTCTGGTCTTCTCTTGAAGAAGAAATAATGATCAGTTGTAATTTCAGATCAGCTTTGTGAAGTTTTGTCACAGCACAAAGAAAAAATGATTGATTAATTGGGATTCGAGCCATCATCATGTGCTTTGTAAATTAATGTTTTGCTTGCAGCATTTCCAAGGCCGAATATTTTTTGTGCAGTACATATTTTGTATGCTCTTTTTTAGGTCTTATAATAGTTTACACTTTTATGTTAATATGCTATTTATATGTATGGCTGTGCAAATGAATGTAGAATTTTGTTAAAAGGTATGATGGGGAACTGTAATACACAGCTTTCATGATTGTAATGAATGTTTAAATATGATATTCTTGTTAAATATTAAACTTTTACAGCATCTACATGTGAAAACTGCAATGATATTCTGGCCGGAGCAGTTTTCACCAGGCAGTCATTGAATGTTTTCTCTATGTTAGATTAAAAATAAAATAAAATTAAGCTCAGCTGGGTTTGAAGGTGAGTGCCTGTTTCAATAAAGATGAGAATTGAACAGCTTTTAATTTACAGTTTATCTATTTATTTAATTTTATTTTATTTATTATTGGGGGGGGGGGGGGGCTTCATCAACCATCTGGTTCTCTTCTTCCTATTTGCTTTTACTCCTTTTTAGAGCAACACATTCAAACAAGAGCAATTTGTCTCTGTGGTGAATACTGTATTTGATCAACAGAAGTTTACAACATTGCTAATATCATTGTTATAATTATTAAAGATAAAACTTTCTTATATGAAAACATTTAACAGCTGAATACATTTTCTACTTAAAAAGGTATTGCATAACAGGAGCAGAAATAAACTTTTTCCAACTATAAGAATGCTCAACATGCATGGGACTATCTTATGCTTTCTAACTTTTTAAATCTGCTCTCCAATATTTGTACACTACAGACCAACAACTCCGAAATACATATTGACGATTATATATTAATTTAATATACTTATAAATTTCAATTTAATTAACAACAATAAAAAAGTGATGATAAATGATGTCTACTCATGATAGTAGTAAGATAACCATACTGCACCATACTTGAATTGGCTTCTTTTTTTTTTTTTTTTTGTACCATTTGATGGTCTTGTGGATACTGTCTCCATCACTGGGGATTCTACTGTCCTACTCTATATATAATAATAATAATAATGACTACATAATATCCAATTAAGTAATCAAATGAACCTGTTCCTGCTGTCCTATTCTATACGTGATAACTGTGTATATACTATAAAGTTATCAAATGAACAGTTCCTACTGCTACAATCCTTGAACAAATTTTTTTTTCTTTCTACTTGTATTTTGCTAATGAGAGCAACCTGATATGACAACAAAAATCATGATAGCATTTTTTCCTCAGACATTTCTGTACTACTCTGACTGGCCGCTGTTTCTTCTTCAGTTTTTGGCTCCTCTGCCTTTGGACTACCTTCAGTTGTATCCTAGAAAACAAAAGTACAAATGATTACTTAAAGTAACAGTTGCCACCAAAATAACAGTTGCAGGTGTCATTTCTCCACTTCCTGATCTGCATGTCAAGGAATAGTTTCCTGAATGCCAAATTTTGTCATCAAATAGGACTGTACCATCATACTGTAAGAATAGATATTCAAGATGACTGACAATTTTCATCAATTACCCACTCTTTGCAAAAAAAAAAAAAAAAAAAAAAAAAAAAAAAAAAAAAAAAAAAAAAAAAAAAAAAAAAAAAAAAAAAAAAAAAAAAAAAAAAAAAAAAAAAAAAAAAAAAAAAAAAAAAAAAAAAAAAAAAAAAAAAAAAAAAAAAAAAAAAAAAAAAAAAAAAAAAAAAAAAAAAAAAAAAAAAAAAAAAAAAAAAAAAAAAAAAAAAAAAAAAAAAAAAAAAAAAAAAAAAAAAAAAAAAAAAAAAAAAAAAAAAAAAAAAAAAAAAAAAAAAAAAAAAAAAAAAAAAAAAAAAAAAAAAAAAAAAAAAAAAAAAAAAAAAAAAAAAAAAAAAAAAAAAAAAAAAAAAAAAAAAAAAAAAAAAAAAAAAAAAAAAAAAAAAAAAAAAAAAAAAAAAAAAAAAAAAAAAAAAAAAAAAAAAAAAAAAAAAAAAAAAAAAAAAAAAAAAAAAAAAAAAAAAAAAAAAAAAAAAAAAAAAAAAAAAAAAAAAAAAAAAAAAAAAAAAAAAAAAAAAAAAAAAAAAAAAAAAAAAAAAAAAAAAAAAAAAAAAAAAAAAAAAAAAAAAAAAAAAAAAAAAAAAAAAAAAAAAAAAAAAAAAAAAAAAAAAAAAAAAAAAAAAAAAAAAAAAAAAAAAAAAAAAAAAAAAAAAAAAAAAAAAAAAAAAAAAAAAAAAAAAAAAAAAAAAAAAAAAAAAAAAAAAAAAAAAAAAAAAAAAAAAAAAAAAAAAAAAAAAAAAAAAAAACACCATGATGACCATGCTGAAATACCTAAGTATTGTGACATAATAAAAACTAAATTCTGGTCCTCTTTTAGAAAAGAGAATGAAGTTATACTTACATCCAGCAAGTATAACTTCATTCTCTTTTAGAAAAGAGAATGAAGTTATACTTGCTGGATGTAAAGCCCTGGAAAAATATTCTTTTTATGAAAAATAAATTTATTGAAAACAGATAAACATAAAATTAAAAAAAAAAAAAACATTCGAGAGATATAACATCATTAAAAAGTTACTTCAACAAAATATAACATCTACCTGTTTTGTATCTGGTGCCTCCTCATTATGCACATCTTTCCTCTCTTCTGTCTCATGTGTCATCTCCTCCTTTCCTTCTTTCTCACTTTCATTCTTCCTCCCCTCCTCTTTAACTTCTTTAATTTCTGCATCTAAATCTTTTGCCTCAATGGTGTTTGTGTCTTTTTCCAATTGTTCCTCTTCTTTGGTTTTCTCATTGAGTTCCATGTCAGCTGTGACTTCTTCATTCTTGTTTTCTTCTGGCGTTTTTTCCTCTGACACCTTTCCTGTAGTTTCATTTTCATCCTCATTCTTCTTCATTTTATCCTTGTCTGTTGGCACCTCTTCTGAAACCTTGGCATCTGAAATCAGATTATAGTTGGTGAATTTACCATACCAAGATCAAAAGATATAATAGGATAAGTGAAAATTCTATTCTATTTAACTTGATGTAAATATCTTATATAAATTTTGGATATTAATCAAAAATCATCATTTCCATACTTTCACTCTCTCTTTACCCACCCCCCACCCCCTCACACACACACACACACGCGCGCGCACACACACACACACAGTAAACAGACAACCCTACGCACCATAATAAATTTATAAATAACTCTGCCAAGAAGGTCAGGTTCTTTTTATTGTTGATTTTTAGCTGACAACTACATACTCATTAGAATTGTAAAAACTCTACTAGTAAGAAGCACATTTATAACAACATACACAATTGACAATAAACGTAACATGAAATACATATGAAATATTAATTTTAAAACAGTGTCACTGACCATTTGGCACTGATTCTGCTGAAGTGAGGGACTGATCCTTTTTGGAAACATTTCCAGTGCCCATCTTCTTTGCTGCAACTTTTTTCTCTTCTGAAATCAAATGTTAGTTTTTTTTTACATATGTTAGTCACAATCAACTGTTAAACTATTATAATACCTACAAATAAATTCCAAATCACACTGATTGTTGGTCTTGACAAGTAACCCCAAAATTCACTTGTCATGGCGTGTTCAAAAATCTACTTCTTAATATCATTTTGTACAGTTCCTTACATCAACTATTATGATGAGGTTATTCACAAAAAGACCAAAAGATGAGAAAACTGAAACTAATAAAAGCAACTATAGAAACTAAAGAAAACTGCAAAAGCAGTAACAGTAACTGTTACAGTGCATACCGACTGGCAAGACAAAATATCATAGCCACCAGACCAAAAAAGTGAACAAGTAATAGCCATATGACATAGAAATAATGCACATTTGCCCCTTTGGTCACATAGTTAAAGATGAATCCAGATTTGAAATCCTACCTGTTGTCATGGTCTTGGGATTATAAGGGCGGTCCAAAAATGGAACGAGGAGGCCTTTGTTCGCATGGAAGTACCCAGCAGCAAAGGAGGGCGGAATAGGGCTGGAATTCACACGAATGCCACTACACATTCCTTCCAGTTGCTTTAATGCTGAAACATATAATCATTTATTCATTATCAAACTAAAATTATTTTAGTGTATAATATAAAATCAAGTCTTTAAGGTCTATTTCTTCAAGTACACCTGCTAATACAACATTTCAGAAATTGAGAAAANGTTTCCAGTGTGTTTGGTCCAGGTAACAATAAGTTATTGAAGTATTTTGTTTCCTCTGTCTTTATTTACTGAAAGGTATAATTATACCAGTTTTATCATAATTTTAATATGTTTGTTTTACTAACGTCTTTTACTTACTAAAGTGATTTAATGCTTGACAAATACAAAGATATTTTTCATATTGAAATAATAAGGAAAGGAATGAATTGCAAACCAGCTAAGAAACAAAGTTGTAAAACTTGGTTGAAATTACATATTCTAAACCCAAATATGTAACATTCTTAAATTATCTCCGTCCCGTCAGGCACCAGAATCCCAGATGCAGCAATCAAAGTACTGGATGACATCATTTCAAACCAGAACAAGAGACAGCAAGCGTCAGGATAGACACAACTCAGACATAAAGTATAGTGCTGCAATTTCACACAGATATGTCACATACCGTGCTAAAAAGACAGACATCTAAAGGTTTCTATACTGCAGCAGCAGTCCTCTATAATATGTACAAGTCTGTGGATGTTTAGGGGTTTATTTGTGGCATAAGGTAGATGTTGCATATCACAAATTGCAAAGGTCACATATTGGAAATATGAGAGCAAACATGACGGCATATTTATATTTATTATGCCTCCAGCTGGTGTTTGTGACCAATTGTCAGCACAACTGCCTGTCAGCTCTTTATTTTTAATTTCACAATAAAAAAAAAAAAAGAAATAGAAAAAAAGAGAAAGAGATTGATTTTATTTTGGCATGGTTGATCATCTTTATAGTTAAAGTCATGTTTGGAAATCAAAACGAATAATGTCTTAAATTTGCACAGGCTTAATCAAATACTTTATGAAGTGACTAATGGAAGTTTAGTCAGGTGAGGGCATCAATCGCTCATTAATGCCTACTGTATACCAATTATGCTGGCATATGCAGACATAAAGTGATAAATATGCTGTGTTCTACTATAATGAAACGAAAGGTCTGTTGCTGATTTAATATGCTGCAGTACTTCTGTATTATTTAAAGAGAGCTGATATTTGTTTTCATATGAATGTCAATACATTGGGCTGACTGAAAAAAAATGAGCAGTTTGAAAGATTAAAAAAAAAACATTTAGCTTAAACAATTATAAACAGATATATTTGAAACCTTTTCGCACAAATTTTCTATAATGATTGATGTTATACATTATAAAAGCTTGCTATATGTAATGTTTACAATATGGACATGTATAATTTGCTTTGCAGCATCTGTATTATGTGACGACTTATTATTAAAAGTAATTTGCAATATTCAGTCGAAAAGCAGGGTGAGATATGTTTGGTCACGAAGTAGAATCTGTCTATTCTAGAGCAACAACAACAAAAGAATCTACTAGTCTATGAGATTTGATTCCACGAAGGGACACAGTATCTGTAAATCATAAAGAATCCTGTTCCCCTCTAGTTGTAGGAATTATGTTCAGCTGTAATTCCAGAATAGCTTTGAGCAGAGGTTCACTCACAGCACAATGAAAGAAATATAGTTTAATATTAATGGAATTCGAGCCATCATCATGTGCTTTGTAAATTTATGTTTTGCCTGCAGCATTTCCACGGCTGAATAGATTTTGTGCAGTATATATTTTTTATGCTCATTATTAGGTCTTATAAAAGTTTACACTTTTATGTTAATATGCTATTTATATGTATGGCTGTGCAAATGAATGTATAATTTTGTTAAAAGGTGTGATGGGGAACTGTAATGCACAGCTTTCATGATTACAGTGAATGTTTAAATATAATACCATTGTTGAATATTAAACTAGAACAGCATCTTCGTATGATACTACAATGATATTCTGGTCAAAGCAGTTTTTTTTATGACATTCATTGAATGTTTTCTCTATGTTAGAAGAAAAATAATAAAGCTCAGCTGGATTTGAAGGTGATTGTCTGATTCAGTAAAGATGAGAATTGAACAGCTTTTAATTTACTCATTATTATATATATATATATATATATATATATATATATATATATATTTTTTTTTTTTTTTTTTTGGGGGGGGAGGCAGCTCCTTCAACCATCTGGTTTCTCTTCTTTCTTCCTATTTGCTTTTACTCCTTTTTAGAGCAACACATTCAAACAAGAGCAACTTGTCTGTGGCGAATACTGTATTTGATAAACAGAAGTTTACAACATTGCTGATATCATTGTTATAATTATTAAAGATAAAACTTTCTTATATGAAAACATTTAACAGCTGAATACATTTTCTACTTAAAAAGGTGTTGCATAACAGGAGCAGAAATAAACTTTTTCCAACTATAAGAATGCTCAACATGCATGGGACTATCTTATGCTTTCTAACTTTTTAAATCTGCTCTCCAATATTTGTACACTACAGACCGACAACTCCGAAATACACATTGACGATTATATATTAATTTAATATACTTATAAATTTCAATTTAATTAACAACAATAAAAAAGTGATGATAAATGATGTCTACTCATGATAGTAGTAAGATAACCATACTGCACCATATTTGAATTGGCTTTTTTTTTTTTTTGTACCATTTGATGGTCTTGTGGATATTGTCTCCATCACTGGGGATTCTACTGTCCTACTCTATATATAATAATAATAATAATAATGACTACATAATATCCAATTAAGTAATCAAATGAACCTGTTCCTATTGTCCTATTCTATACGTGATAATTGTGTATATACTATAAAGTTATCAAATGAACAGTTTCTACTGCTACAGTACTTGAACAAAGTTCTTTTTTTCTTTCTATTTGTATTTTGCCAATGAGAGCAACCTGATGTGACAACTAAGATCATGATAGCATTTTTTCCTCAGACATTTCTGTACTACTCTGACTGGCCGCTGTTTCTTCTTCAGTTTTTGGCTCCTCTGCCTTTGGATTTTCTTCATATGTATCCTAGAAAACAAAAGTACAAATGATTACTTAAAGTAACAGTTGCCACCAAAATAACAGTTGCAGGTGTCATTTCTCCACTTCCTGATCTGCATGTCAAGGAATAGTTTCCTGAATGCCAAATTTTGTCATCAAATAGGACTGTACCATCATACTGTAAGAATAGATATTCAAGATGACTGACAATTTTCATCAATTACCCACTCTTTGCAACAAAAAAAAAAAAAACCACCATGATGACCATGCTGAAATACCTAAGTATTGTGACATAATAAAAACTAAATTCTGGTCCTCTTTTAGAAAAGAGAATGAAGTGATACTTGCTGGATGTAAAGCCCTGGAAAGATATTCTTTTTATGAAAAATAAATATATTGAAAACAGATAAACATAAAATTAAAAAAAAAAAAAACATTCGAAAGATATAACATCATTAAAAAGTTACTTCAACAAAATATAACATCTACCTGTTTTGTATCTGGTGGCTCCTCGTTATGCACACCTGTCCTCTCTTCTGTCTCATGTGTCATCTCTTCATCCTTTCCTTCATTCTCATTTTCATTCTTTCTCCCCTCCTCTTTCTCTTCCTTAATTTCTGTATCTAAATCTTTTGCCTCGATGGAGTCTGTGTCTTTTATCAATGGCTCCTCCTCTTTGGTTTTATCATTGAGCTCCTTGTCAGCTGTAGCTTCTGCATTCTTGCTTTCTTCTGGCGTTTTTTCCTCTGACTCCTTTCCTGTAGTTTGATTTTCATCCTCATGCTTCTTCATGTTATCCTTGTCTGTTGTCACTTCTTCTGAAACCTTGGCATCTGAAATCAGATAATATTTGGTGAATTTACCACACCAAGATCAAAAGACGTAACAGGATAAGTGGAAATTCTATTCGATTTTACTTGATGTCAATATCTTACATAAATTTTGGATATTAATCAAAAATCATCATTTCCATACTTTCACTTTGTCTCTTCCCCCCCCTCCCCCCCCACACACACACACACACACACACACACACAGTAAACAGACAACCCTATGCACCATAATAAATTTATTAATATCTCTGCCAAGAAGGTCAGGTTCTTATTATTGTTGAATTTTAGCTGACAGCTATATACTCATAGGCATTGTAAAAACTCTACTAGTAAGAAGCACATTTATTACGACATACAAAACTGACAATAAATGTTACATGAAATACATATGAAATATTAATTTTTAAAACAGTGTCACTGACCATTTGGCACTGATTCTGCTGAAGTGGGGGACTGATCCTTTTTGGAAACATTTCCAGTGCCCATCTTCTTTGCTGCAACTTTTTTCTCTTCTGAAATCAAATGTTAGTTTTTTTTTTACATATGTTAGTCACAATCAACTGTTAAACTATTATAATACCTACAAATAAATTCCAAATCACATTGATTGTTGGTCTTGACAAGTAACCCCAAAATTCACTTGTCATGGTGTGTTCAAAAATCTACTTCTTAATATCATTCTATACAGCTCCTTACATCAACTATTATGCTGAGGTTATTCACAAAAAGACCAAAAGATGAGAAAACTGAAACTAATAAAAGCAATTATGGAAACTAAAGAAAACTGCAAAAGCAGTATCAGTAACTGTTACAGTACATACTGACTGACAAGAAAAAATATCATAGCCACCAGACCAAAAAAGTGAACAAGTATAGCCGTAATGACAAAGAAATAATGTACATTTAATTTTTGCACATTTGGTCACATAGTTAAAGATGAATCCAGATTTGAAATCCTACCTGTTGTCATGGTCTTGGGATTATAAGGGCGGTCCAAAAATGGAACAAGGAGGCCTTTGTTGGCATGGAAGTACCCAGCCGCAAAGGAGGGCGGAATAGGACTGGAATTCACACGAATGCCACTACACATTCCTTCCAGTTGCTTTAATGCTGAAACATATATAATTATTTATTCATGTAGTGTATAATATTATTTTGAGTCTTAAAGGTCTAATTCTTCAAGTACACTAGCTAATACAACATTTCAGAACTTGAGAAAAATGTGCAGTTAGACTCTTGAGCATAGCAAAAACCTCTTTTTTTAAGTTGAAACTTAAAAGGGAAGGTCACTGTCTGTGGCTTAGAAATGAATAAAATGCTAATTTTCAGTAATTTACAGTCAAATTCTGTGCATTTTGGGTGGGAGTTATCAACAAGGTTTTCACTAGTGCCATATAAGAACTCCACCCACAGTACTACTTGCCAAATAGCTGGAATATGCATTAAAATAGTACCATCAATAACTGGTTGATAATCCCAGCTTCTATAATTCTAGCGATGCAGATGATCATGAACAGATGTCAGGGATGGATGGACATTGTCTCCTGGTCTTCCAGAAGACGATAAGAATTTTTCAAGTTACACTGATGGCATCTAATTTTTCTGTTGGAAGAAGGTCAAAAATGGAGGATGGATCAACAAAGATAATTTGGAAGACTGTCAAAAATGTCTACTTGTTACCTAATTCCAGCTTGGAGGTTTCCTCACTGGCCTCCAGGTGGCCATACTTGGCTTGACTCAGTTTTATTGCCACATCTCGAATCTTTTCATCTCTGAAATAATGATTTATCATGATGAATTATGACAAAGCGTTTTAACTGTGTCCTGTAGCTGTGTTTATCTATCACACAGTTGGTGAACCACAGCCACGTGATGCAGTCTTAACTCGAGTACGCTTTAACATGTATGTCTATCTCAGGTTTTTGCACCTGTGGAGGGGATCATACATTTTTTGTCAACCAATTTATTATCAACTTTTCATGGGTCACATAAATATTCATTGACTAAATGTTTAATTCACATTTAATTCAACAAAAGTAGAATTACAAAAAGTCATTCATAGACTTGAATTGGTTAAATGAAAATCTGTCCTATAGAGCATCCAGTCTCTAATCCTACCTTTCCTCTCTGGTCAGTTGAGTGACCAAGCAGGCCAGCCTCTGCTCTATGGCCAGGGCCCATTCCAACATCTAGAAATAATCATCCAAGGTCAAGTTTTAGTAAGTTAAGCATGAAGATTATTATATTAACTGACTGCATGATTGGATATTTTGTAAATTGAGAACAAAAAAGTGTGCAAGGTAGCAAAATCAGGCAAAACATGCAAACACAACTTAGATGTGTGAGAGAGAGAGAGAGAGAGAGAGAGAGAGATTCAAATTTAAAGAAATTATGACTGTAAATTTCACAATTTTCCCACACTAAAAAGATCAAGTGATCACCATACATATAATAATAATAATAATACTATATATTGTAGTAACATAAAGGGGAAGGGGACTATGATTGACCAGGCCCCAGTTTCACAAAAAAAAAAAAAAAAAATCTTAAGTCAGTTCCCTGACTTAGTTTACTAGGATTTCCATGAGTGCTGTTACACTGCTCTTGATAGGGTAGATGTGACCATGTAACCTTGGTAATTAAGTTCTTAGCCAGGGAAACTGACTTAAGTTGTTTTTTTTTGTGTGTGTGTGTGAAACCGGGGCCAGAACCACATTGCCTCTCACCTGACACCTGCGAGCTAGGAAGTCATTGGCGGAAATACTCAGGTACCTCTTCAGGTTGTTCAGCGGCTCCATTATCACAGCAAACCTGGGATCTGTGGCAATATCTGACCACCTGGCATAGCCATGACTGCAGCCAACAGTGAAGGAAATGGGCAATTTGAATAAGTGATACTTTGTGACTCTTTGTGCAACCACCAGATGGCAGTTTTGATATACTGGGAAGACACTCCAGGTGGCAGCACAGTTACACTGTTGATGTCAACATACTGATAATTATAAGGGTGACATACAGGCCTGTAGCTAGCAATTTACTGTGGAGGGTTTCTTATTTTTCTGAAAAAGGGGACATTTTCACAACAAAACTATACATGTCTACACTACTGCTTAGTAGATAAAATTTGAATCAGAAAAGACCATTTTATGGCCAAAAGTGTAGTTCATTTGAAGCCCCTGAACCACAAACCTTTGGGCCTGCATACTTTGTTGCCATTTGCTGGTTGTGGACAGTCTACTGTGTTAGTGAGATAATTCCAAACCTATTACAAACCCTTATCTACATCATAATATCTTCTGTCCCAAAAATTCATGATTTCTTTTACCCAAAGACTAAAAGATAACTTTAAAGTCAATGTGAAGTCTATTAGCTAGATATAATTAAAAGCTGAATGTCAAAAACAATTTCTGAGAAAATTTTGTTATGAAACTCTACCACTAAACTCTGTCAAAGCACATGCAATGACTTTCACTTTTTTAAAAAGTAATATTGATCTTTAATAACAAATTGATGCAATATTCCAATAAAGGATACGTTATAACCCCAGCCAACAGCCAGTAATCTTGCAGTCTGTGCCAATATGATTTTAAATTCTCCTGTGTAAGACTCTTCTCTTCCTGCACCCAGATGGCTTTTAGATCGGTCAATCCGCCATCTTCTATGTGGAATGCCTTTTGAAGCAGATTTACATACTCTTCCACTTTTTCTTGGTTGTCTGATGAGAGATCTACGATATCTGGTTCTTCTTTATTCCTATCTGTAGATGGCGCTGTTGATTTGTAAGGGGCAGCAAGAATTTCAGACAGGGCACTTTGATTTTTTTCCTTAGTGTCGGACACTTCTTTTTTGTTTGAGCTACTTGCATCACAACTTGAGTTGTCTTTTTCGGGAGAATTCTCCGTGTTTTCTTCATCCTTGGGTTTGCCAGTGCCCATTGTTTCCACAGCTTCACCAGGTGTCTTGTTGTCTTTGTCAGTTCCTGACCAATCAACTTTTGTAGTGTCAGCGTTTTTGTCATCCTCTGTAGAATCAACTTTTGAAGTGTCAGTGTTTTTGCCATCCTCTGTAGAATCAACTTTTGTAGTGTCTGTGTTTTTGCCATCCTCTGTAGGATCAGTTTTTGAAGTGTTAATGCTTTTGCCATCCTCTGTAGAATCAACTTTTGAAGTGTCAGTACTTTTGCCTTCCTCTGTAGAATTAACCTGAGGGGTTTTAATATTTTTGTCATTCTCTGTAGAATCAACTTTTGGAATGTCAGTGCTTTTGTCATCCTCTGTAGCATCAACTTGGGGTGCTTCAGTGTTTTTGTCCTCCTTCATGGGTGCTATATCAGATGCATCAGCACTGTTTTCATCTTTCACTGTTAATTTCTCTTCGACTATTTCACCTCTGTCAACCTCTACACTTTCATCAGCTTCAACTGATTTTTCTGTCTTAGTTGCAGCTTGTTCGTTCCCATCAACATGTTGCCCTTCTTCAGATTTATCGCCTTCGCTTTTGACCTCATTCTTAACCTTTTCCATTTTATCCCCAATGTCATCAACGTCATTTCCTTCTTTTGTCATTGTATCTCCAGGCCCAGCTTTTTTCTCTTCATCATCCTTAACGGGGCTTCCACCATTACTCTTTGCTTCTGTTTCTCCAGGTAACTCATCCCCAGGTCTTTCTTTCTCTTCCACTTCCTTGCTCCCTGGAGAAGACTGTGTTTTATCTGAGCTATCATCATCTTTCTTCTTTGGTGTTTCTTTCTTGGGACTCGGTGGCCAGACCATCTCCTTGAGGTTTTTCAACATCTCCATGCTATCAACAGAACTTACTTCAGAGCTCTCGTATTCATTGATCTGTAAATAAAACCAAAAACATTCTTATATATTATGGCATTTCTGTCCAAACAATTACTTCTCCCACAAGAGCAGTCACTGTAAATATAGTAAAAATCTTTTCTAAATTGGATAAAAATAAACATATTAACTAACCTTCCTGCGAATAAGGGACATAATCCCAATGCGTGTCAAGACGTGTTGCCGTGACAACCCCTCACATGGCACGCCATCATGGTACGTGTCTGCCTTCTCAGGTACATTCTCACACAGATGACGCATGAACAGTGCAACGTACGCCTTAAAATGATGTTCTGGGATATCCTGTAGTTCCTTGTTCATCCACTGAGAGTTATAGGCATCCTCAATGGGCATCCCAAACCGCATGACTTGTTCGAGGAAAGCCTTCCTCTTCCTTGCTGTGAACCCGAGCACCTGAACCTGGCCGTTGACCTTGGACAGCAATGGCGGAAAAGTTTTAGTAGCCGCTTTCTTCTTATCCTCCTGCGCAGTTGTTTCTAAGCGGAGCATCTTGCGATTAAACTCGACATCGCTGTCAACCTCTTCCTCATCTTCGTCCTCATCCTCAGAGGACGTGGGAAGATAGTCAGATAAATATTTGACTGAGGAGTCATCATCTGGCTCAACTTCATCTTTTTTCTCCGTGTCCATGGTTTCATCGTCCTCCCTGTCTTTAGCACCAGCCCCGTTCTCTTGGCCGTACCCATCATCACGATAATTCACCTGCTTTCGTTGTCGCTTGCCACGCCCCAGGGAGGCAATTTTACGAGCCTCTTCCAGCATCTCTTCAGTCTTGATATGGTCGTAAGATGGGCGGAGTAGCTTCTCCCAGTAAGTTGGGTCGTTTTTATCCTTTTCTTTTTCTTCCTGTAAGTTTAATTTAAATATGGCATGGATAATAAGTAGGTAAGAACTGACCATGTATAATAATTTTCCCAAAATATATGAAACTTTGATAAGATATGCATGCTGCATGCTATTCCTATTGGCCTCCATCTATTTCTTCTATATATGCACACATACAAAATTTATAATAAAAAAAACTGTTACAGTAGTTACGTAACAGTAATGATGTTAACAAAATCTAAATAATTATTTTCATATCATTTGCTCACATGATTTCCTCTCTGACTTCATCTCTTCTTTTTTACCTTGAGAATCTCTCTCTCTCTCCCTCTCCACTCGCACAAACACAAATACAGAGAAATACAGTCTTTCTCAATAATGCATGGCTTACCTCTTCCTCTTCATCCTCTGGCTCTCCCCCCTCAGCTGACACATATTTGGCCACCTTGAAGGAGCTGAAGAAGTCATTCAAGCCACTCGCACCTTTGTCCTCGTCTTCTCGACTCATTTTTGTACGGTCCAGTAGCTTCTCTATGGCCTCATCATTCCACGTGACTGAAATAAGTATTTGGTTATGTGTTATTGATTGGTTCAAATTTTATGAAAAAAGGTATATCAAACAGCATTTAGGCTTTCTACTGATTTTGTCCTACAGATTTTTTGAAAATAGATTCAAGTGAGTCTTGGTACATTTGTCATTACATAGACAAATATTATTTTCAGTGGTTTTTATCTAAAAGCAAGGAACGTACTTTTCCAACCCAAAAAAGGGGGGGTGGGGAGGCTGTACACAAAAATGCAAGAAAAAAAGGAATAATTAAATAAATATATGAAATTAAATGAATAAAAAAAAAAATAAAGAATAAAGATTTTTTAAAAAATCACTAAGTCGAGACAATAAGTCGAGTACTCACTCTTAATATCACTGTCCTCTTTAAACAACTCCTCTGTGCCAAACTTGATGATCTCGTTCAACTCTTGCTTCGTGATGCTTCCCTCCACGTTCATCCCTGGCCGTACAACCAAGTTATGCAACATCATCTTCCTCTTGGCAACCTGCGTCATGCGTTCTTCCACTGTTGCCCTGGTAACAAACCTGTAGATCATGACCTCGTTTTGCTGGCCAATACGGTGAGCTCTACTAAAGGCCTGCGAAAAAAGAAATTAATCAGTTGCGTAATAAAATTTGTCTTTAAAGTAACTATATTGGACTTTTGGTGCAGATGTCATTTCTTACACCATCTGATCAACATTTTTGAGCAACAAATGTTGGTTTTAACTTATCTACTGACAAATTAAAGGAAACTGTATGCTTAATGCCTGAAATATTGAACCTTATCCTGTGAAAATCTGACAATTTGTTTCGTAATTGGCCAATGTTTCCGACCTGGGTAAGTAGATTCTTTTTAAATTTTGACATTCCAAACAGGATACATGCTTGTTACCTGTCAAATATATACTAATATTGTGGATGTGAAAACCATTAAGAAAAAAAAACTTTAATCGAGAATGCCCACTATATCTGACAAACCAACTTTGACAACCTGAAATTAAGGGTCAGTTTTTGGCCCACTGACCACTCTGGACACTGTCCATACCTGGATGTCATTGTGAGGGTTCCAGTCCTGGTCATAGATGATGACTGTGTCCGCAGTGGCCAGGTTGATCCCCAGACCGCCCGCCCTGGTGGACAGCAAGAACACAAACTGCTCGGCTCCGGGGGCTACAATAATACAACCACAATTTTGTAATTATAATTATGGTAATATTGGGCCACAGTTAACTAATTGGTTAATTAATCTAAAAATCAATCATTATAAACAATTATAAAAATTGCAAATATGGAATTTGCCAGTTATTTAAACAAATAAAAAATAAGAAATAAATTTAAAAAAAAACTAAATAAATAGAAATATACAAGCAAGAGAGTTCAATACAACAGTATAATGGGAATATTGAGACGCAGTCAACTAATTAGTTAACTGATCTAAGAATCAACTAGAGGATCAGAGAGGCGANAATACGGTGAGCTCTACTAAAGGCCTGCGGATAGCGAAAAAAGAAATTAATCAGTTGCGTAATAAAATTTGTCTTTAAAGTAACTATATTGGACTTTTGGTGCAGATGTCATTTCTTACACCATCTGATCAACATTTTTGAGCAACAAATGTTGGTTTTAACTTATCTACTGACAAATTGAAGGAAACTGATTGCTTAATACCTGAAATATTGAACCTTATCCTGTGAAAATCTGAAAATTTGTTTCGTAATTGACCAATGTTTCTGATCTGGGTAAGTAGATTCTTTTTAAATTTTGACATTCCAAACAGGATACATGCTTGTTACCTGTTAAATATATACTAATACTGTGGATGTGAAAACCATTAAGAAAAAAAAACTTTAATATAGAATGCCCACTATATCCGACAAACCAACTTTGACAACCTGACTTTAAGGGTCAGTTTTTGGCCCACTGACCACTCTGGACACTGTCCATACCTGGATGTCATTGTGAGGGTTCCAGTCCTGGTCATAGATGATGACTGTGTCCGCAGTGGCCAGGTTGATCCCCAGACCGCCCGCCCTGGTGGACAGCAAGAACACAAACTGCTCAGCTCCGGGGGCTACATAAATACAACCACAATATAATGATAATATTGAGATACAGTTAAATAATAATTTATGATTAATTATAAATATAAATCTATAAACCAAAAGCAGCAGGTCATCTAGGCACTGTTTGCTGACAACCAATCTGCAACCAATTTTATCAGTTATGAAATCCTATAACTCCAAGATGAACCCTATCCTTACCATTGAATCTGTCTATAGCCTCCTGCCTGGCTTGTCCTGATATACTGCCATCTATCCTCTCGAATCCAAGTTTTTCATAAATCAAGAAATCCTCCAAGATGTCCAGTACCCTTGTCATCTGAAACATCAGATTTTAATTTTTTTATATTCTTTTTTTCTTAAATCTTATTTATTTATTTATCTATTTTTGACTGATGTCAAATACAAGTCTGGTAATCAAATGATCTTTCGTTGAGTCAATAACTAAGAATTTCAAAGATGTTCTAAACCAGGGTCCTGGTTAAAAAGCTTTATTTCAATTGTCTTTGTAGGTGACCAATTAAAGGTTGTATTTACTTTCTGATCAACTGATCAAATTAACAAATTTTCTTTATATGTTGAAAAATATATATAAATATATAAAAATCTAAGATTTTTGTGTCAGTTATAAATGAAAACATTTGAAATCACATTCTATAAAATTAAGATCTAAAGCAATACAGAATGGGATTAAAAACCTGCACCTGGTTCATTACAAAAAATAAATTCTGAACAAAATAAGGAAAAATACTTATTATATCCTTATAATGACTTTGACAAAGTTATATTTTCTACAATTAAGAACTGGTGTCAGTTTGTTGGTTATTCACCTGTGAAAAGATTAGCACCCTGTGGTTAGTTCTCTTCAGAACCTTGAGCATCTTCGAGAGAAGTTCCAGTTTTCCACATGCCTTGATCAGAGCGCTACCTTCATATACACCATGGGGACCCTTGGGTGCATCCTGAAACAGAACAACAGGTTGTACTGACAGGAGTGGTGCATTATTGGAGAAATAAAAATACTAATTGGTAAAATAGTGAATAATTTCAAACAATTCCTTTTAGTGTTTTTGTAGCAAACTTGACATACAACTATTGGAGATTATATTACATAATATTATTGTTTCAGCTTTATACTTTAATTCTTCCACATTATTTTTAACCTATTAGGCATGATGTTTTAACCTTCATTAAGGGGCTTTGATCACATGACTGAGTTCTGTGAGCTCAGGAAGGTTGAAACGACCTGTGGGCATCCAGCTTGATGATGCTCTTGTCACAAGAACGAAACATTTAACAACTATTTTTGTTCCTTAATAAGTGATCAGTAAATACAATTCCTTGGAACAATTAACAATCTTAATGATAATTATATTATTATAGTCTTAAGTACAGCAGTAGCTAATTCCTGTGCTTCTTCTCCTAAACATGGAATTGTCCTTCATCTTTAAACCTCCATGTGTGCACTTTCATACAACTCTGGTATTCATTGTTTGACTGAAGATTACTCTGCCAATCAAAAGTGCTCATTTAATAACCAAATTTAGTTCATGGTTCCATAATAATAATAATAATAATAATAATAATAAACCCCCCCCCCCCCACTTACCACATGTGCTGTAGGGAAGAGGTAAGGGTGATTACAACACTTCCTGAGGTCCATCATGACATTCTGCAGGCTCACTCTGTTCATGCCTTTAGAGTTCAGGGCCTCAAAATTACGTGTTAGGATGTACTTGTAGAATTTCCTGGGGAAAAAAGTTCAAAGTTATCATTTTTAATAAGTAACAATAAGGATAGAGCACCTGATTTTTACAATAATCTTTTATAAGCACTGAATATTTTCTGTAAATTTTATGGAAACAGCTGCTTTTCAAATATCATTTCATTTTTAAACATATAATTATGAAAAAATGTAAATACAAATACAGTCCTTACTTCTGAAGAGGGGAGAGCTCTACTCTCACGATGAATTCACTCTTGGATGGTATATTTTTGAGAACGTCTGCTTTCAGTCGACGCAGGAGGTGGGGTCCCAACATCTCGTGAAGCTTCAGCACCTGTTCATCCTTGGAGATGTCCGAGAATTCTTCTAAAAATTGCTCCATATCGCTGTTGGAAAAGTGTTAAAAATAAGATAAAATAATGTATTTTTGTTGAAAGACTGCATTTGGAAGTTAACATGTCTGAAAATTTAATGCTAAGTTTAAAGGTCTCTGCTAGTATTTACAACATACGAAAAGAAAGATCACTTTTACAAAATGGAATCAATGCTCGTATGCAAATTAATGTAAGGCCATTTGATGACATATATTTAAATGAACATGGTGGCAGGCCATGTGCTTAGCACTTAGTTTTCTACTGGACTTTTAAAATTTAGCAAAATGACCAAATACTCAAATTTAATAGGACTCATCAAACTGAGCAAGCTGATCGATCAAATAATTTACTCAAAATTCCAACAAGTCATGAAATTGACTAAGCTATGTACTTACTCGAATTTCCCAGGACTCATGAAGTTGAGCAAGTTGAAGAGTTCCTCTAGGCTGTTCTGCAATGGTGTGCCTGTCAGTAGCAGCTTGTAGGCAATGTTGTACTCACTGAGAACACGGAAAAACTGGAAAAAAATGGCACTCATTCAGTATTTATTCAGGAAAAACCCAGAAAATAAAAAATATGAAAAAAAAACCCCATAAATATATTCACTTAATTTTGAGATAAAAATTAACCTTTTAAAAGAACCATGAAAATGTGCAGATCTATATGGAGGGGGGGGGGGGGGGGGGGAGTTTGAGGTGGGGATGGGATTAATATAATACCCAAACATCCGAATTTCTGAATAAATTTAAAGACTTTCTCTTCTATTCATATACAAAAATCAGTGAATGATCCTCAGCATTATGTCAGCTTTCCTCCTGCACAGATCTCGGCCCACTTACCAGAGATGTGTTGTTCTTCAGCCTGTGAGCCTCGTCCACCACCAGGACATCCCAGTCCACTGACCCCAAGGTTGTCTTGTCCAAACTGATCAACTCGTAATTGGTCAGCAGGACGTCAAACTTGACCTGTGCTCCTTCGCGCATTTTGCTTGGACGGACAGACCTCTTTATGGCATCCTCTTGGTACGAAAACTCATAATCCCTGCAGATCGAAAAAAAAAAAAAATTAAGAATTTTTTCAACAGTGTTATGTTCTCAACATCACAATAATAGTCTCATAAGACACCTTTTTTCTTTTTAGAGAATAAGACTACAGAAATGTACTCATTCCATGGGGCGTCTTGTGAGACTGAGAAATATAAGAGAGCAATATAATAACTCTGAATTTAGCTGTTGTTCAAATAAACTATTTGCCTAACAGACAATGAACTTTACTTATTATTTACAAACTCAGCCCACCTTATTCTCTGTCTGCTTTTCTTCTCTCCCACATAGGTGACCACGTACATCTCTGGCGCCCAGAACTCAAACTCTCTCTCCCAGTTCACGATGGTGGACAGAGGAGCGCTGATCAGGAAGGGACCTGAGCTGTGACCCTGGAGGAGTGGAATAAAATAAAATAGGTGACATTAATACAAAGCTTAATTCTCTCTCTCTCTCTCACTTCATTATGTAAAGTGCCAGGAGTAAGTGACAAGTCCCAGTCCAAAGAAAGTTTTCATTGGATAAATTTCTTTCAAAACTTATCATGTTTTCAATATGGTAAATGTGTTTGAGAGAGCGAGAGCGAGAGTGAGAGTGAGCGAGAGAGAGAAAATGAGGATTACTAAAATACATATATATTTTAACATATAGTTAACAAAACTTTAATACGTCATAAGTGCCAGAAACAGTCCCATGTCCACAATACTGTTCTACTCCCACCACCCCGACCTCACCTCCTTCCACAAAGAATACAGGAAGGCTATACTCTGTATGGTCTTCCCTAACCCCATCTCATCTGCCAGTATAGTATTGGTTCTCTGGACCCAGGAGAACCTCAGCCAGTTCAGACCCTCCAGCTGGTAAGGATGAAGCTTTCCCCCTGTGGTCTGGAGGTACTCTGGGTCCTCAGTCAGCTTCTGGGAAAACTGGGTTAAAAAATATATGTCAAGTTTTACAGTTCTTTATAAACATTCTTTTATATCTTCTAATTATCTTATTTTTATTTTTATGCAAACTAGGATCAGAAAATATGATGGTTAATTTTTTTTAATTATTAAAATATGAATGTACTTTGTTTTTTCAATTCTTTATCATTAAATTTTCTCAATTTATTTTGGGTGTTCTTGAGCTTTAATAAACTGCTAGGAAAAATAGAATATTAAATGAATAAGCAAAGTGTTTTAAAATAACATTTTTTCTTATTTTTTTTATGTATAATGAAGTGTTGTATAAGCAAGAGGTCATACCTGACTAAGGCCTAAATTATCACAATTCTTGAGTTCAATACTGGTTTGCTGGACTAAAGAGAATGCATTATTTCTATTTCCAATTTTTTGTAGAGATCATCTGTCTTATTTGCAACTGTTCCCCTCTTAAATGCATATATTGCCCACCTTTGATCTTTTAGGTTTCTTTTCTTCCTTTTTCTTGTCCTTCTTCTTCTCTCTTTCTTTGAATCTCTTCCTGCAAATTAAGTTGTATCATATATATCTCTTTTTCTATCAAATAACCTTCAAATCCAATATATATTCAATTTCTTTACTTTCATTGAAAATTTTCTATCATGCATACACTATAAAGTAGTACACATTATGCATTATAGTCATATGAATCAAATAAAACATGACAAATTACTGACAAGTTTCATAGTCAACCAAAGAGCATTTCACAAACAAACTTAACAGGCACTTAGCCCAGTTCTTTCATTCTTCTAAACCTCTAAATAAAATGTTCTTGTCTTCACCTAACTTTTTAAAATTTACTAATACATTTATCTTTTTACTGAAACTGGCTCTTGCCTTACCTCCACAAATTTCTAAAATGTTGATGTGAGACCTCTTTCTAACAGGGATGAGACTGCCATTGAGTGAAAAAATCAGAAAATATGATGTGGGGTTTAGGGGGCTGGCAAGGCATATGACATTTTTTCCCAAAAAAAGACGACATTTGATGATGACATTTTCCCACTTGTTCTAACCATCTTTAAGTCAAGTCCAACTATCAGTCCTAGGTTCCTAATACTGGGTTCCCATACCTACATTGATTTAACAGGATTGATCCATCTCCAAGGGATTTCTCGCTAAACTGCTTTTAGCATAAGCGACTTAGATACCTGGCATGCCTACTGAAGCTGCTAAACGATAACTAATCACTCCATAGCAGCTTCAGTAAGCATGACAGAGATCTAAGCCACTGAAGTAGATTGCAATTTAGCGAGAATCCCCTCGGAGATAAATTGATCCAAAGCTAGTACAATAGGGTCTGGGAATGGTCCCTAAGGGAATCTGTCTCTTGCCTTACCTCCTGACATTGTACTCCTCCACAAACTTCTCAAAGTCCACCACCTCCTTGGCTGTGTCTTCATCCTCCCAAGTACAGGCATCATAACACAGTTCCTTCCACTTTACCAAGTACTGGACCTGTCCATTCTTCCTGGATACAGACAGAGAATATGTGTGAAAATAAAAACAGAAAATAGCTTGTTGCTGTAAAATCAGTTCTTAGTTTTCTTGAAATGCCAACTACATTGGGCTCTGTAAGGAAGCTGTACCAGTCTGTGGAATTGGAAAATGGAAAATAAAATTTATCTGATTTTTCTGGTGGCTTCAAAAATTTTTTCTACAACTTAACAAAAAACATTCTCTGGAGTTTCAAATTTGAAACAGTCATGATCAATACAAATGCATTTTCCTAACACTAACAATTTATATAATATTATACAAATTTTCAGTTTTTGAACTAGTGCTCATTTCTTTCACTGAATGTCAAATCAAATAAAATTTCAAAAATAATTACTTCCATACATATCCTGGATTCAGAGGCTTTAACTTGGAAATTTAATTTCTAACTCAACAGCTATAATTATAATTTTAATTATNTATCTCTTTTTCTATCAAATAACCTTCAAATCCAATATATATTCAATTTCTTTACTTTCATTGAAAATTTTCTATCATGCATACACTATAAAGTAGTACACATTATGCATTATAGTCATATGAATCAAATAAAACATGACAAATTACTGACAAGTTTCATAGTCAACCAAAGAGCATTTCACAAACAAACTTAACAGGCACTTAGCCCAGTTCTTTCATTCTTCTAAACCTCTAAATAAAATGTTCTTGTCTTCACCTAACTTTTTAAAATTTACTAATACATTTATCTTTTTACTGAAACTGGCTCTTGCCTTACCTCCACAAATTTCTAAAATGTTGATGTGAGACCTCTTTCTAACAGGGATGAGACTGCCATTGAGTGAAAAAATCAGAAAATATGATGTGGGGTTTAGGGGGCTGGCAAGGCATATGACATTTTTTCCCAAAAAAAGACGACATTTGATGATGACATTTTCCCACTTGTTCTAACCATCTTTAAGTCAAGTCCAACTATCAGTCCTAGGTTCCTAATACTGGGTTTCCATACCTACATTGATTTAACAGGATTGATCCATCTCCAAGGGATTTCTCGCTAAACTGCTTTTAGCTTAAGCGACTTAGATACCTGGCATGCCTACTGAAGCTGCTAAACGATAACTAATCACTCCATAGCAGCTTCAGTAAGCATGACAGAGATCTAAGCCACTGAAGTAGATTGCAATTTTGCGAGAATCCCCTCTGAGATAAATTGATCCAAAGCTAGTACAATAGGGTCTGGGAAAGGTCCCTAAATGAAACTGTCCCTTGCCTTACCTCCTGACATTGTACTCCTCCACAAACTTCTCAAAGTCCACCACCTCCTTGGCTGTGTCTTCATCCTCCCAAGTACAGGCATCATAACACAGTTCCTTCCACTTTACCAAGTACTGGACCTGTCCATTCTTCCTGGATACAGACAGAGAATATGTGTGAAAATAAAAACAGAAAATAGCTGGTTGCTGTAAAATCAGTTCTTAGTTTTCTTGAAATGCCAACTACATTGGGCTCTGTAAGGAAGCTGTACCAGTCTGTGGAATTGGAAAATGGAAAATAAAATTTATCTGATTTTTCTGGTGGCTTCAAAAATTTTTTCTACAACTTAACAAAAAACATTCTCTGGAGTTTCAAATTTGAAAAAGTCATGATCAATACAAATGCATTTTCCTAACACTAACAATTTATATAATATTATACAAATTTTCAGTTTTTGAACTAGTGCTCATTTCTTTCACTGAATGTCAAATCAAATAAAATTTCAAAAATAATTACTTCCATACATATCCTGGATTCAGAGGCTATCTTTAACTTGGAAATTTAATTTCTAACTCAACAGCTATAATTATAATTTTAATTATCCAAGGTGGCACTCAATACAAAACTGATATTCCAATTACCCAATTCCTCTTCAAAATCCACCTGATACTCACTTTGTGTTATGGTTTATGATCCTGTGTATCTGCAACCATTCAGGTCTGATGCCATAGCGGTAATATTGTTCTTCCAGATTATGGAACCCCTCATCCACCTTTCCTTTACCTCGCCGATCAAATCCACCAAAACTGCTCCCATCCTCTAATGGCGGAGGCTCGTCCATGTCACTCCTGGCAAACAAGGAGCGGAGAAGTCCCGGGTGGTACACCTCAAGCTGAAGTTTTCAGAAAAATCAAAAGACTCAGGATTTTTTGGTCATGACAGTATGTTATAATTATATCATAATTTAATGGCATCATATAATACCGATAATATAAACATGTTGGATTAAAGAAAAAAGAGTGGTCTACATGGATTAGATGCCAAATGTTTTATGCCTGTTTATACTGAGAGAGAGAGAGAGAGAGAGAGAGAGAGAGAGAGAAATGCCCCTCACTGACTGTAATTATAAACTGGTTATAATATTTCGGGTTATATTGCCCTTGTCTGAACTGACCCTTCAAACCAACCAATCACTGACCTGGATTTCTGACACCCAATCACAGTGCCAGTAGGACAGGTCATGCCATTGGACAAAGTATTCCCTTTCTGGCTTGCCCTGAAACTGTATCAACAGGAAATCATATATATNCTTCAATAATTCATTCAAACCCTAAACAAACTGTTCCTAAATAGAGGTAGGGTCGAAATTCCACAAAAAAGGACGCCATTTTGAGGGTAATTTCGATATATTTTCTGCTTTTTCTCTTATTTTGCTTTTATAACAGCATCCTCCTTGCTCATGCAGCTTCTTTGATTTGTTATTGAAACATACACAACGATGTCATGAGAATTTGGTTGGCTATCTAAATTTAAATAACATTCTTGTTATGGCAGCCTGCAGTGCACCACTAGCAAAGAATGACTGATATACAATACAGAAAAAGACAGTTAATCAGGATATTCAGCTCCAACTGTTTGGAAAAATCCAAATCAATCAAGTTAAATCAATTAGCGGGGAGGGGGGGGGGGTAGGTTACTCTTTTACTCATGACAATGAACAAGTTGGGTAAAGTAAGGTTTCTCAAATGCTAGATACTTATTTTGACTCTGATATTGCTATTAACCAGTTTTTAAAACTGGTTGCTATTCCCAGCATAACTGTCCAGAGAATAACAATTTTATACAATGGATTCTGTTATCCATAGAACAGTGCTATCTAGAATTGATGAAACTGGGCCCATGCTATCAAGTTGTCAATCTCTGAAAATGTTGTGACACATATAAGTATACCCCATCATGGACATGATCTGAGAGGCGCCCATCTTACCTTTCCTTTGAGTGGACTGCCTGGCACATGGTCCAACTCGTCCCCGCCCTTGGGGGGTTCCTTCCACCGCCATGTCAAGATCTTCTTCACTTTCCCCTTCAGCGGCTCACACTGTAAGACCAGGAAATTTTATCAACCAACTTTACCCACACCCACATATCATATCATTCTATGGACAGGAGATGGTAAGATATTTCACACTGCTGCCTTATTGTCCTTCATTTTCAAAGTGAAAAAACTGTGTACACTGATATAAACTTATTCATCATTGGCAGAGCCTCAGGTAAGGCAGGTTCATAAAAGACACTTACGCTACAGCGAGGGCATTTCCACTCCCCCTCCGGCACTTCCTTCAGCGGTGGGTTGAGGCACTCCAGATGGTAGACGGAGGGACAGGTCTCGCAGCAGATCACGTCTCCGCCATCTTTACACACACGACAGAACTCTTGGTGGTCACTGTCTTCTTCAGTCTACAGTAAAAAGAATTGAAAAACTTTGAAGAGTTTAAAGAAAACTAGCCTAAACACCCTACTCAGAGATTATTAAAGAATTTGGAGAGTAGCACACATAAAAATCTGTATCAAGGATAATAAATAAACATGAAATTGCAAAATGTCCACAGTATCTGTATTGTATAAATCTTACAAAAATCATATGTTTCACAATATGTGATGATATCTCTATTTAAGCCACTTTCCATAACCTGTGTTATAAAAAAACTTTTTTAAGTCAAATCATCTTTGTTTAACAAACATGCTTAAAAAGATCAACATTGGTTATTGCTAAAATCTGACATAAAATAATTTGATGAACTGAAAATGAACCTTTGGTGATAGCAGTGACCCAGAAAAACACAATTTTCTAATAAGTCTCATTAAAATATTTACACATTGCTGACATATCCATCTTCCCCTTGGTACGGCATCCAACTCCAGACACTTCAAGTGATAAGATCTGGGACAGTTGTCACAGAGAATGATGTCTCCCCCTTCCTGACAGATCTCACAATACCACTGGTGATCACTCTGAAATTATCAGAAATGCAATGCAACAGAATGCAATACAATACAAAGCAATACAATAAAACTGCACTAAATACAATATGATACAACACGAGTTTTTGACAGGTCTCTTTCTGAAATTATCAATACAATGCAATGCAATACAAATACAATACAATGCAATGCAATGCAATGCAATGCAATACAATAAAATTATACTAAATACAATATGATACAACAAAAGTTCTTGATAGATATCAATGTTATGAATTCTTTTGTCATTTTTGCTAAAATTAAGATATAAACAATACTATACTCCAAGGCAAAAAAAAAAAAAAAAACGCAATAAAATTCCTTTAATTTAAAAATATTTGGAAACCCACAGTCAGTCAATATAGTAATTACTTCATCTTCAGTAACTGTGAACAAAAGAATCACATTTGCTGCCCATTGTGACCTTTAATAAATCATACCGTTTAGAGTGGCAGGTCACTCCATGAAGATGCAACCTAATTTCAATGTAAATATGCCTCATTTTTTCCACAGCAACTATGCTCCGGTACTATCTGCTTTGCACATTTGTGAAAAACAAAAACAAAAAAATAATAATAAAATAAAATAAAGTAAATAAATAAATATATAAATAAATTTGATAATTGGACAAATGAATCTCAGAGTCCATATTGAAATACCTCCTCTCCCTTGTCTCCATCCTCCTCATCGGGGAACTGTTTGGTTGTCTTCATTCGTCTGTTTTTCTTTCTCTTCTTTCCCCTTTTCCCACCCCCTGCACTTGAATCTGAGTCACTGGAGGCCAGCATTTTCTCAAATTCTTCATCGCTGTCCATCTCTTTCATGCTTTCCTGAATAACCATGTATCAAATAAACAACCTGAATTATACATAAAACATCATCACCATATCGACCACAGTTGACCGTCAACATCATTAATTAAGCAACAGCATAAACAGATTTCCAGACCCTATGGTCCTCCATGACACTGGCAAGCTCAGTTATGTTCTCCAAGCCAGTGTCCTCAAGGAGAACCTGGACGTAAGTTTTTTTTTTCCATGTGCCCAATAAGCCATGTGTGGGAACCCAGAGCAGAAATCTACTTGCTGATTTTTCTGTGTGACAATAAAATTGGCTGGCTGCCCTAAATCTGCCGTCTCTTATTTTAGAGGCGACTTTCCGTATATTGCCATAGAGCTCCATAAAACATAAAATTAATGTAAGCAATAGAGATAATATTACCGTTGTATTAACTCTTGGCAATTTAAACTTGTCTAAGAATCAAGCTGTATTGAAAAAACAAAGTAAATACTGATAAAAAAAACTGACACTCAACTTGTCAAGGTTATCAAATGATATCATCAAAAGACGTTTTGTTTCCTTTATATCAAATTTGTCAACACCTCAGTGATTTTTAGAGATGTCATAATGTGGGTTGGTGTATATATATACATATAATTTCAATTCCCAGAAATTGTTTTATTCATCTGTCAATTTAAACTGTTGCACAACTCAATTACTTAATGTTTATCTTGGAAGGAGGCCAAAATGTTTTATATTCTTTGAATACTGCTAAAAAAGGAGAAAAAAAGCTTTGTGTCTGAAATACCATCCATGTGGCTTTTCTTTATTTTTCTCATCTGACCAGCAATATCAGACCATCCAGTCAACTTACCTTCTTCATTCTCTTATCTCTCTCACTGCGTCGACTTGCCTCTGGGTAAATCTTTTTTCTTTTCTTTGGCTGGCCATCCTCTTTCTTTTGTCCATCTTCTTCTTCAGTGTCTTGTTCTACGTCTGCTAAATCTCCATCAGCACCGTCATCTTTGACCTTTGACCTCTTGACGTCTGCTGCGTCTCCTTGTGGACTTCTATCTGTTTTGCTAGCCTGGAAAAAAGTCAGATTGTATATAATATGTGTATATCCAACTTGTATGAAAAAGATTTAATAAAAAGATTTGAATTTCATGATCAAAAATGCAGCAACTAGTCATTATTTTGGCTAGACTTCTGCTTCATTAAATGTACTCTTAAAATCTTAAATGACCATGTTTAATGAACTTTTACTTTAAAAATAATAATAATAATAATAACAACAACAACAACAATAATAATGACTGTATACAATAAACTAAATGTAGTTCTTGCACCAGAATCTTATTTCAAAGATTGAAGACAAAAACCTTGTTGTAAATATGCACAACAATTTTTTCCTTTTTCTAAGGGTACTTGAAATCACTTTTAAAGATATATCCATCATTTCTGACATATATATGAAACATTTTTCACCTTTGTCTCCTTTTTCTTGGAGGACTTGATTTCACTTCTTTTCTTCACTCGGACCAGCTTTCTTTTCTTCTTCTTCTTTGGAGCTACATCCGACTCGTTTCCCAACTCTCGTTTCCTGTCCTCATCCTCGTCCTGTGTGCTGTCAGCCTGAGATATACCAAAAGTAGAACATTCAATAATGAAAAAGATAATAATTCTAACAATTATAACCAAAGCAGGGTTATGAAGGCACTTATCTGTGATCTCTTATTGAAGTGAACCCACACACACACACCACTGGCTTCTAGTCTAAAACACAATTATCTGAGAGCTACAATATATATTATGACCAAAACTGAAAGAAAATGAAAAACATCTTACTTACTTTTTTCAATACATCATTAATTGCTTTTTAAACCAACTCAAAACAACCATCATACTGAAAACTGTCTATTGTAAACAGTTATATTTTATAATATGGTTTAAAATTTACCACCTTGTACTGATTAACATATAATACTGCTTTGGCCCATTACCTCAACTTAATAACACTGTCCATATTAAAAAGGGAAAATCCATTTTATTCCCTTTTAAATGGCTAAAATTGCACTTTGAAAGTGGTCAAAAATTGAAAAATACATCGCTGAATTAAGAATTTAAATATGTAATTTTAGCTATCAAATTTTTCTAAGTTGCACTGAGATTTTAACGTGCCATGTTAAATGTGCCATATGAGAATAAATTATCAATATTATTATAATTATTGTCAATATTATCATCATCATCATTATTATCAAGACTAACATGGGATTTTAATGTGTTAAGAATTGAGAATAAATTAAATTTTTCATTTTCCATTATCTATCACAATGCCACAGTGAGCCTTGTGTACCTTAGAACCTCTCAACTTCCTCTTCATGGAGTCCGCCCAGTCATCATCCTCAGCATCATCTGAGCTCGTTTTTCCTCCATCTGAGGCAGAACTGCCATCCTTATTTTCATCCTCTTCTTCGTCTCCAGAATTTAAAAGCTTCTCAAAGTCCTTGTCAGTTAAGTTCTTGCTCTGGAAGAAAAAGTCACTGTAATAATTTCTACTTCATTTTGCTAACATGTAAAGCATTGTGGGCATTTTTATGACACAGAATTTGATAACATTTTTTGCAAGTTTATATTTTTTATTTCCAACATCAATATTGTTGATTGTAGCGAATGACATCATAAATATTTAGTGGAGGAATACATTTCCCCAAAAAACCCAATGATTTTCTAAATTATCAGCAATGTATTTTTCAAATTCTGACCACTTCAAAAGAGAACTTTTGGACATTTAGATGGGAATAAAATGGATTTTCCCTTTTTAAAATTGACATTGTTTACCACTGTCTATTAACCACCAAAGTTTTTGTGAAATGGACAAAATACTTAAAAAATTATGATTTCAATTTGTGTTTTCACAAATTCTGCCTCTCAGGCTGTGGGAGTCCACCTTCTTCACATTCAAAAGAAAAAAAAAAAAAAAACTTTGAACACTGAATTTGACCACTCTCTACTGACCATCAGAGTTTTCCTGTCCCGAGAACTACGTCTGGTCTGCCCACTAAGAAGCTTGATCCTGAGTGGCTTGGGTTTTTTGTCTCTGGATTCTCTAGACGACGCTGTTCGCTTTCTGTCCCTGCTGTTGCTACGGCTACCACGACTGGACATGGACTCATCACTGTCATTGTCAGATGGGACTGCGAAAAAAACAGGACAGAGACAGATGAGATGACATGTTATTTTAAATAACTGTTATAGCAGAAAAGCCAACTTTTCAGAGAATCCTATACTGCCTAAGATAGATATTTTATTCATCACAGATTCAACAAATTCTGTAACTAGGAACCATGTTACAAATGCTTGTAATTACTATAATTGTGGTCTACATTTGGAAAAAGAAAGCTATGTCTACCTCATATTTAGTAGGCAAGCTTTGGCACATATTAATATCAATCAGACTATATTTTTTTTTTACTATCTGACAGATATTTCAATAGATTTCCAAATCTGTATTTCAGTAAATTGAGAAAACATTGACATATTAACATTATTTATATCATTAAATCAATAACTTAAACTTTTAACAAACTGCAAAATCAATTAACTTAGAATTAAATTCATAGTCTTTACAACTAAATCCTTCATTCAATTATTTCTCTACATTTGCACATTAACTCACTTCTCTTAGGTATCTTCTTGAAGGGATTTGAAGCTTGAAATTCTTTCCACTTTGCTGCTATCAGATTGGATGTCTTTGAAGATGAGATTTTGGTGTTGGCCTGAAATATAATAACTATCTTTATCAGTTTTAGCAGATTTTACAAAACAGAAAGCTTAAGCCTTAAGGATATTGTCATCCTTTGCCCAAAACTCATTATTTATTGCCTTTAAGTTACATTCTTTTGGGTAATAAGTAAATCTTCAGTGTTCAGTGACTAGATTATTTAACATTTACGCATATGTCATCTTGCAGGTGACGTTATAATTGTGATTTTGGGATAAAAACTGAAAAATCAGTTTCTCTAATTTCTCCTTTACCTGAGCACCCACAGTCACGGTTTCAATGCCGGTTTAATGACACCATTGAGTACTTCAAAATCCTTAGTTCAAAGTCTTAGTTCAGATTTTATCATAATTTATAAAGAAAAATTATGCCTGTGTTTGTTTAATAATAATCTGTAACTAGGGGCTCATATCTCCATAAAGGGGACCTGGAAGGTTTAAGTGACTGATTATTTTGTAAAACATCTAAAAAGTTTACAGTACATACCTGGTATATCAGCGGCCGTATGTGCTGGACAAAGATGCTATAAGTGGAGAGGTTCTGGTAGTCAGCTTCTGTATACTCCACATTGACATCATTGACACCAAACTCTTTACACAGGTCAGCAGAACTCTTGTTCTTCTGTGAAAATACAATACAGTAAAAGTTACTATTCAATGTATTCAAACATTATTTTTAAAAATAAATAATCCCCCCCTATACTTGTAAATGAAAAACTGAATGACAGTTGGCTTGTAATTGCAGAGAGTATACTTAATGTTACCATTTTTTTTTCTTTGATTGATTGACTAATTGACTATTGATTGATTGTTGAAATGGGTAAGGTGAATTGAGTTTAGGCACTGACAGAAATCTGTGGAAAAGTTACAACATCCACTTTAATTAATTTCAATTAACAGCATTTAACAAACTACCTTTTTGACAGTACTTTCTTCCTTTTTTCCTTCAGCTTTTCTTTTTCCCATGACTTCACACGGAAAGCTTTTGAATAAGTAACTGTATCAAAACTTTTGATAGAACAACTGCTTACATTTAGGCTGGTTCTGTTAAACTGAAAAGAAAAGAAGTCACATCATCCTTTAATATTATAGAAATATGCTACAAACAGTTATTGACCAACAACAAGAGCTAAATCCACAAATATTGGTCTTAAAAATTAAGGACCAGAATAATATAAAATTAATATAAATATCATTGAAGGAATGGTGCTTATATTTTCAGAACTATTACAAGCGTACAAATGAGTTGAGTTGTAATGTGGAATTATTTGGCAAATACTAACTGACAGATGTTTGTTGTTGACATTTACTTGGATTGACACCTGTCAAACATCCATGATAAAATTACACACACACATACACACACACGCACGCACACACATACACAGGTATGCTCAGAAAAAGTAAAGGTTCCGAATAAGCAAAAAATTGCTTTTCCATCATTTTAAAGATTTAACTTTATGAAGACATGCACTAATGACTTCCATTGCCCTCAAATTTAATTTATCTCAATAACAATATTTGCCATTATATCTTCTTTGTTCTAATAAGGCCGCCATTTTCTTATTCTTTCATCCCCCGGTTGGGTCGACATTTGCCTGTTTATTCTTTTAAAAAATCACGGTAACAACAACGGACCCTGTCATACATAATTTTCATTTCATTATAAAATTGTAATCAAAGGGAAAATCGATTATGATTTTTATTGACATTGAAACTACATTAAATAGCAGAAAACAGGTTTTTAATTAAAGGGCAAAACAGACGTCGACCCGACCGGGGGATCGGAAAACCGTACTAGTATAGAACTGTCGTCCAAACCTTAAAATCATGTCGAAGTCGAACACTTTTACTATAGCACATATGCAGAAAGAAAAAGAAAATACTACACTATGACTACATTCATTTGCGACTATAACACGATTTAAATGCATTAAAACATAGAATGACATTACCTTTATTTTCCCGGCGCGTGCACAATACACAGGGCACCTTGCAATACAAAAAGTTCATTCTTCGAAAAATATAATAATAAGTATTTTTACTTCATTTTCTTTCGTAAGATCTGTACTTTCTTGAAAACAAGAATGTATATCACACCCATTATGTATTTGTATTTTTTATTTGATTCTGATCAATATTTTTTAAAAGTAAATCTAAAACAATGTAACAACAGTTTACGCGAACTTGCCCAAACAATCAAGACAAGCTCACCTCGTTATAAGAGCGAGCGAGCAGCCGGCTTCTTTGATGTGTAAGTAATCGGTCCAATTTTGCAAAATATATTGTGACATCAGATCTGTCATATTTAGCTTATTTTTCTTTTAAGTGCGGTTAACTTAAAATAGTGGTTAAATGATAAACATATGTTTGGATGAAACTTAGACCAGAAGCAAAAGTCAGTTTAACTTTGACAGGTCAATTGAGGTTTGTTTTGTTTTTGTCACTCTTCGAGTTTGGCAAGTTTTGTCAGTCTTTTTTCATCCTTGGTTTAAAGAAACCGATTATGCTAAATGTTCTGTGACGCTGCGAATTCACATTTATTTCAGTTTCTGACTTCATTCAACCATTCTATCTGCTAGATAGCCTTCCAGGTTAGGTCCATATATCTCAAGTCCAAAGTCCAATTTTGATTCAGGTGTGCACTCAGGTAAATTTTCAAGTCAGCTTCCTTTTATTATCAGTATTTTTTAACATTTACACTGCTGCAATATATTTCACTGTATTCCATTTCTTTATGTTTGATGCCAATTGCTGTTTGCAAATACTGTACATGTAGAATTAAAAGGGAACACTTTACCTGTAGTTTTACATTAAATAGACCCATATACTGTATATAGTAAGGTGATAACTAATGTACCCAGTTGATCACCTGCACCTTGAGTTCAAGGGATCTCAGGCATGTTGATAGTCCTGTGAAACTAATAGATATACTCTGTGGATTCTTGACTTGATTCAATAGATTGAATAACATATTTATATCACAACAATGCTGTAGAGAGCACTTATCATATTATTATTATTATTATTATTACTGTTATTAATTATGGTATTTTTTAAAAGAAACAATAGATATAAGTATTTATAATTTTCTAAGATTAGTTTGTTTTCTGAATTTGGCTAAAATCTACTAGCAAAGTATATACAAGAAAGTTATAAAATCTCCAAGCATAATGTGTACAAAAGAGAGACCAGGATTTTTATTTCATGATTCTCTTATAGGTCTTTCCCCTGTGCCTATGACGCCTCCTTTCAGCCATGGCCTCCCCACTGCAGATGTATGTGTCTGAGAAGGAAAGAACCTTTGATTGTGAGGACAGCCTGCCCAACCTGCCTATACCTCCTCTGGAACAGACATTGAAGAAATATCTGGATTCTGGTGAGGGTTTCTTGAATTGGCTGCAACACTTAAAATTATTTACCCCTTATTTTTAAAATTATTTATCCATTTAATGTCTTGTTAGTACATAGAACAATGATCCAACAAGCAGAATATAACAGTTCTATAAAATAACTAAAGAAAAGCATTGTGACATGAGATTTTATTTATTGAGGTTCTAGTAAAATATAACACATACATTTAGACGTAACAAAAATCGTGCAAAGGAAATGGTATACTCTAGTTCTTAAGTATTCTGGGTGATAACCTGAACTTGAATATAGAGTTCTTGATATAATGGACAGGTGTAACTGCTCTTTTTATTTCATAATTTTATAGTTACTATTGACCACTTTTACAAAATCACAGCGCAAAATGAAAAAGAAAATGTTACACTATAGTTTAATTAATTTTCAATAATAATACGGTTTAAACGATTTAAATTTTAATGCCTTTAAACAAATTTTAAACAAAGAATCACATACCCCGCACGTGCACAATACACAGGGCACCTTGCAATACAAAAAGTTCATTCTTCAAAAAATATAATACTGGGGTAGCGCTAGCAATTTTTTCCGCTTAGCCAAATCACCACTTTTTTGTCAATATGTTATCAAAATGGTTATAATTTGACTAAAACAAGTCAAATCAAGCCCTTTTTACTTTAGCCAATTTAATTAAGTTTTAGCATTTGGCTAAATTGGCGAGTGTTACCCCAGTAAAATTTTTTTTCATAATTGTAAAATCAGCTATAATTTGTTTCTTCTCCCATAGTCCGCCCACATTTGTCCCCAGAGGAGCTGAGAACTACAGAGTTCATAGTGCAGGAGTTTGGTCAGGGGGTGGGGAAAGAGCTACACAGAAGACTTCTGGATAATGCCAAACATAAGAGGAACTGGGTAGGACTTGTGTCACTTGTGGATTTATTAATTAATTAATTAATTAATTAATTAATTATGATAGCTAGAGTTTAAGGATGGGTTTAAGTTTCCCTAAAAGAAATGTGATGTAGCCAGTATTTTTTTTTTTAATTTTTTCAAATTCATGCATGTACTAGTAATTATAATATGGTGCGTGGAGAGCTGAGACGCCCCCTTCCTACCCTCCTCCATTTCAAGGTAAAATCCTTAGATAATAAGTTACTGTAACTTCTTAAATAACTTATAACAGTTACTTGAAACAGTTACTTGAAACAGTTACTTGAAATTCTAAGTAACTGTATTGCCTGTTACATGTAGGTGTTGTGTGTGCAGTAGTGACAGTTCCCTGAAGATGACCTTGTGATAAAGGTCAAGATGTCTGAGTCTCTGCATAACACCTGTCAGATCTACAAGATTGTCCAATATGAGATTTACTATATTTAATATATATTTAATATATTTGCCTAACTGTTTTGTCTTTCCTACACTATCAGTTAGAGAAGTGGTGGGAGGAGTATGCGTACCTTAGGGGCAGGTATCCCAGCTCTCCCATAGTGAACTTTGCTGGTCCAGGGCCGTACAGCTTTAAGTTCTGGCCACCTAAAGAGGGCACTCAAGTGCCAAGATGTGCCATGACCACCTACTATACACTGAAATACTGGCAGATGCTACGAAGGTTAGTTATCGTAATAATTATTTATTTATTTATTTATTATTGTTATTTCCAATAATCTTAGAAACTCATGGGGACAAAGTCTGGGGTGGCGCTAGCAATTTTTTTCGTTTAGCCAAATTACAACTATTTCATTGCTTTTTGGTCCAAATGGTTTAAATTTGACTAAAATGAGTCAAATCAACCCCAATTTGTTTAGCCAATTTCAGTCAATTTTAGCATTTGGCTAAATTGGCGAGTGTTAGCGCTACCCCAGCAAGTGGCTGAGATTGTGTGTGCTCTCAGACTGTTAATGTATTTGTGTGTGTGTTACGTGTACATGTATGTGCATTTTAGCATGTTTATGCATGTGCACATGCCTGCATGCCTGCACTTAACATACAACTATAAAATATTTTAAAATATCTGTTTTCAAAACAACTGTTGATCTAAAATAAAGTTTGAGTAATGGCATGTAGTAACTGTACATTCACAGAGTTCAAAATACATTTAAGATCCTTAAAATTTTCAAGAATTAAGGATCAGAATTTAGAATTATGAAAATCAAAAATGCTGGCCCGTTTACAATATGTTAAATCAATCACATGATCACTTTCAGAGAGAGACTTAGCATTGACCGTAACAGTAAAAGACAACCGCTGAGCATGAGTCAATTCCATCGTGGTTTTAGCACTTGCAAAATCCCAGGAGAAGAAGTGGACCATTTTAACTTTTATTTTAAGACAAGTGAGTTGGTTAGCAGATGTTGAATCAGTTTTGAAATTTAGAAATTTTTTTTTAATGACTAAAGGAGAAAATTTGTAAATAATTAATTGATAGACTAGTTAAATACCTGAAAGTTTATAAAAAATTTAACAGTTTTGTTTTCACAGTTTTCACTTCAAAAAGGTATCAACTTAAATACAACTATCATTCATGAGTACATTGTATGTGCAAAGTGCATTATAAGCAGTTCTTCATGAATCTTGCTACATATCGTAAAGAAACCCTAACACAATATCGAACCTTTTTCACAAACTAGAAAGAGAAGGAAAAACCCCAACACATTTCTTGGTGATATGCAAAGGGAGGATCTTCACTGTAGAGGGCGTTGATGAGAAAGAGGAGCCCTACACCCCACCTGAGCTAGAGGCTCAACTCCAGTTGATAAGAGAGAGGTGTGACAGTGAGCCGAGGGGGCCGGGAGTGGGGGCCCTCACAGGGGCAGAGAGGACAGACTGGGCCAAGGTAAGGGCCAGCTGTGCTCTTATAGATTATTTTGATTTTAGAGTTTTTGAGTTTTAGAATTCAGATTAAGATAAGAAAAATTTTTAATTAGAATTTTAAAGATTAAATGATAGTGAGAGAGGAAAGGAAGGAAGGAGAGAGAGAGAGAGAGAGAGAGAGAGAGAGAGAGAGAAAATGGAGGGTCCCTGTTTTTGTAGAAATAGAAAAAAAAACAGAAAAATAAATAACAGAAGTAGTTTGTTTTGTTTTGGCAAAGAAGGATCATTTTTGCTTTGTTATATATTCACACTGAATTTTTTCACAGCTCCGGCAGCACCTCTTAGAGCTGAGTCCATGCAATGTCCGTAGCTTAGACATTATCCAGACCTCCATGTTTGTAGTGTCTCTAGATGATGTTCCTGCCAGTGATTTCACAGAGGTAATACAGATCTTTGTTCAGTTTAATATTCATGGAAAATATAGTTTAGATTATATACCAACTTACATAAATGTAATTATATTATATTGGATTGCATTAATTAATTTTTTCATAGCACTATTAATCCTCATTATTTTGAGATTTTTTTTTTTTGTTCTTGTTTTTATATCGAGCTCAATATTTATCAGAAAAATTTCACTGTTCAGTCAGCTTTATCACATTGTATCAGGCATTACAAACAAATACAGCATTTTCAAACTTGAGATGTGTGAGCATTAATGCCCATATTAAAGATCCTATAGCCACTAATTAATAACCCCAACTTAAAATTAGTAGCCACGAGCACTGACTATTCCATTCTCATGTTATGTTTTA